GCATTTTGCCAATGGAGCATTTTGCCAATGGAGCATTTTGCCAATGGAGCATTTTGCCAATGGAGCATTTTGCCAATGGAGCATTTTGCCAATGGAGCATTTTGCCAATGGAGCATTTTGCCAATGGAGCATTTTGCCAATGGAGCATTTTGCCAATGGAGCATTTTGCCAATGGAGCATTTTGCCAATGGAGCATTTTGCCAATGGAGCATTTTGCCAATGGAGCATTTTGCCAATGGAGCATTTTGCCAATGGAGCATTTTGCCAATGGAGCATTTTGCCAATGGAGCATTTTGCCAATGGAGCATTTTGCCAATGGAGCATTTTGCCAATGGAGCATTTTGAGACTGGAGCATTTTGCGACTGGAGCATTTTGCGACTGGAGCATTTTGCCAATGGAGCATTTTGAGATTGGAGCATTTTGAGACTGGAGCATTTTGCGACTGGAGCATTTTGCCAATGGAGCATTTTGAGACTGGAGCATTTTGCGACTGGAGCATTTTGCGACTGGAGCATTTTGCCAATGGAGCATTTTGCCAATGGAGCATTTTGCGACTGGAGCATTTTGCGACTGGAGCATTTTGCGACTGGAGCATTTTGCGACTGGAGCATTTTGCGACTGGAGCATTTTGCGACTGGAGCATTTTGCGACTGGAGCATTTTGCGACTGGAGCATTTTGCGACTGGAGCATTTTGCCAATGGAGCATTTTGCGACTGGAGCATTTTGCGACTGGAGCATTTTGCGACTGGAGCATTTTGCGACTGGAGCATTTTGCGACTGGAGCATTTTGAGACTGGAGCATTTTGCGACTGGAGCATTTTGCCAATGGAGCATTTTGCGACTGGAGCATTTTGCGACTGGAGCATTTTGCGACTGGAGCATTTTGCGACTGGAGCATTTTGCGACTGGAGCATTTTGCCAATGGAGCATTTTGCCAATGGAGCATTTTGCCAATGGAGCATTTTGCCAATGGAGCATTTTGCCAATGGAGCATTTTGCCAATGGAGCATTTTGCCAATGGAGCATTTTGCCAATGGAGCATTTTGCCAATGGAGCATTTTGCCAATGGAGCATTTTGCCAATGGAGCATTTTGCCAATGGAGCATTTTGCCAATGGAGCATTTTGCCAATGGAGCATTTTGCCAATGGAGCATTTTGCCAATGGAGCATTTTGCCAATGGAGCATTTTGCCAATGGAGCATTTTGCCAATGGAGCATTTTGCCAATGGAGCATTTTGCCAATGGAGCATTTTGCCAATGGAGCATTTTGCGACTGGAGCATTTTGCGACTGGAGCATTTTGCGACTGGAGCATTTTGCGACTGGAGCATTTTGCGACTGGAGCATTTTGCGACTGGAGCATTTTGCCAATGGAGCATTTTGCCAATGGAGCATTTTGCCAATGGAGCATTTTGCCAATGGAGCATTTTGCCAATGGAGCATTTTGCCAATGGAGCATTTTGCCAATGGAGCATTTTGCCAATGGAGCATTTTGCCAATGGAGCATTTTGCCAATGGAGCATTTTGCCAATGGAGCATTTTGCCAATGGAGCATTTTGAGACTGGAGCATTTTTGCGACTGGAGCATTTTGCGACTGGAGCATTTTGCCAATGGAGCATTTTGAGATTGGAGCATTTTGAGACTGGAGCATTTTGCGACTGGAGCATTTTGCCAATGGAGCATTTTGAGACTGGAGCATTTTGCGACTGGAGCATTTTGCGACTGGAGCATTTTGCCAATGGAGCATTTTGCCAATGGAGCATTTTGCGACTGGAGCATTTTGCGACTGGAGCATTTTGCGACTGGAGCATTTTGCGACTGGAGCATTTTGCGACTGGAGCATTTTGCGACTGGAGCATTTTGCGACTGGAGCATTTTGCGACTGGAGCATTTTGCGACTGGAGCATTTTGCGACTGGAGCATTTTGCGACTGGAGCATTTTGCCAATGGAGCATTTTGCGACTGGAGCATTTTGCGACTGGAGCATTTTGCGACTGGAGCATTTTGCGACTGGAGCATTTTGCGACTGGAGCATTTTGCGACTGGAGCATTTTGCGACTGGAGCATTTTGCGACTGGAGCATTTTGCCAATGGAGCATTTTGCCAATGGAGCATTTTGCCAATGGAGCATTTTGCCAATGGAGCATTTTGCCAATGGAGCATTTTGCCAATGGAGCATTTTGCCAATGGAGCATTTTGCCAATGGAGCATTTTGCCAATGGAGCATTTTGCCAATGGAGCATTTTGCCAATGGAGCATTTTGCCAATGGAGCATTTTGCCAATGGAGCATTTTGCCAATGGAGCATTTTGCCAATGGAGCATTTTGCCAATGGAGCATTTTGCCAATGGAGCATTTTGCCAATGGAGCATTTTGCCAATGGAGCATTTTGCGACTGGAGCATTTTGCGACTGGAGCATTTTGCGACTGGAGCATTTTGCGACTGGAGCATTTTGCGACTGGAGCATTTTGCGACTGGAGCATTTTGCGACTGGAGCATTTTGCGACTGGAGCATTTTGCGACTGGAGGATTTTGCGACTGGAGCATTTTGCGACTGGAGCATTTTGCGACTGGAGCATTTTGCCAATGGAGCATTTTGCCAATGGAGCATTTTGCCAATGGAGCATTTTGCCAATGGAGCATTTTGCCAATGGAGCATTTTGCCAATGGAGCATTTTGCCAATGGAGCATTTTGCCAATGGAGCATTTTGCCAATGGAGCATTTTGAGACTGGAGCATTTTGCGACTGGAGCATTTTGCGACTGGAGCATTTTGCCAATGGAGCATTTTGCCAATGGAGCATTTTGCGACTGGAGCATTTTGCGACTGGAGCATTTTGCGACTGGAGCATTTTGCGACTGGAGCATTTTGCGACTGGAGCATTTTGCGACTGGAGCATTTTGCCAATGGAGCATTTTGCGACTGGAGCATTTTGCGACTGGAGCATTTTGCGACTGGAGCATTTTGCGACTGGAGCATTTTGCGACTGGAGCATTTTGCCAATGGAGCATTTTGCCAATGGAGCATTTTGCCAATGGAGCATTTTGCCAATGGAGCATTTTGCCAATGGAGCATTTTGCCAATGGAGCATTTTGCCAATGGAGCATTTTGCCAATGGAGCATTTTGCCAATGGAGCATTTTGCCAATGGAGCATTTTGCCAATGGAGCATTTTGCCAATGGAGCATTTTGCCAATGGAGCATTTTGCCAATGGAGCATTTTGCCAATGGAGCATTTTGCCAATGGAGCATTTTGCCAATGGAGCATTTTGCCAATGGAGCATTTTGCCAATGGAGCATTTTGCCAATGGAGCATTTTGCCAATGGAGCATTTTGCCAATGGAGCATTTTGCCAATGGAGCATTTTGCCAATGGAGCATTTTGCCAATGGAGCATTTTGCCAATGGAGCATTTTGCCAATGGAGCATTTTGCCAATGGAGCATTTTGCCAATGGAGCATTTTGAGACTGGAGCATTTTGAGACTGGAGCATTTTGCGACTGGAGCATTTTGCCAATGGAGCATTTTGAGACTGGAGCATTTTGCGACTGGAGCATTTTGCGACTGGAGCATTTTGCCAATGGAGCATTTTGAGACTGGAGCATTTTGCGACTGGAGCATTTTGAGACTGGAGCATTTTGAGACTGGAGCATTTTGCCAATGGACCATTTTGCGACTGGAGCATTTTGAGACTGGAGCATTTTGCCAATGGAGCATTTTGAGACTGGAGCATTTTGCGACTGGAGCATTTTGCGACTGGAGCATTTTGCGACTGGAGCATTTAGCGACTGGAGCATTTTGGTGACTGGAGCATTTTGCGACTGGAGCATTCTGCGACTGGAGCATTTTGAGACTGGAGCATTCTGCGACTGGAGCATTCTGCGACTGGAGCATTCTGCGACTGGAGCATTTTGCGACTGGAGCATTTTGCCAATGGAGCATTTTGCCAATGGAGCATTTTGCCAATGGAGCATTTGGCCAATGGAGCACTTTGCCAATGGAGCATTTTGAGACTGGAGCATTTTGAGACTGGAGCATTTTGCGACTGGAGCATTTTGCGACTGGAGCATTTTGCGACTGGAGCATTTTGCGACTGGAGCATTTTGCGGCTGGAGCATTTTGCGACTGGAGCATTTTGCGACTGGAGCATTTTGCGACTGGAGCATTTTGCGACTGGAGCATTTTGCGACTGGAGCATTTTGCGACTGGAGCATTTTGCGACTGGAGCATTTTGCGACTGGAGCATTTTGCGACTGGAGCATTTTGCCAATGGAGCATTTTACCAATGGAGCATTTTGCCAATGGAGCATTTTGCCAATGGAGCATTTTGCCAATGGAGCATTTTGCCAATGGAGCATTTTGCCAATGGAGCATTTTGCCAATGGAGCATTTTGCCAATGGAGCATTTTGCCAATGGAGCATTTTGCCATTGGAGCATTTTGCCAATGGAGCATTTTGCCAATGGAGCATTTTGCGACTGGAGCATTTTGCGACTGGAGCATTTTGCGACTGGAGCATTTTGCCAATGGAGCATTTTGCCAATGGAGCATTTTGCCAATGGAGCATTTTGCCAATGGAGCATTTTGCCAATGGAGCATTTTGAGACTGGAGCATTTTGCGACTGGAGCATTTTGCGACTGGAGCATTTTGCGACTAGAGCATTTTGAGACATGGCACATGGAACATGGCACATGGAACATGGCACATGGAACATGGCACATGGAACATGGCACATGGAACATGGCACATGGAACATGGCACATGGAACATGGCACATGGAACATGGCACATGGAACATGGCACATGGAACATGGCACATGGAACATGGCACATGGAACATGGCACATGGAACATGGCACATGGAACATGGCACATGGAACATGGCACATGGCACATGGAACAGCATAAAAAAATACAACAATTCAGCAGTTAAACAGTTTAATAATACCCTTACTATTTGAAGTTTTCGTGTCACGAGATGCTAGGAACATTAATTAATCGATGGTTTTGTTTTGCGATTGCCCATCACTAACGGTACAGGGTGTTCACAACATTTGAGTAAAAATTTGTTTGGATTTTAAGTTAAATTTGTTAAAAAAAAACTATAAAAACTACGAAAATGCCCGAGAGCGATGTGACAAAAATGAAGGTAGGCCCATTGGCTGAATAATGCAAAGGACTGCAAGTAAAATCGGGTTTTCCAGGTGGCGGACTTGAAGCGGGAGCTGAAACTACGCGGTCTCACGGTGAACGGCAATAAGACGGAGCTCCAGGACCGCTTGGCGACCGCCCTGTTGGAGGGGGACATTTCTCTGGAGGACTCGGCCATAGCAGATGCCATCGACGACGACGACGTGTCCCTGACGGACGAGGATGAGCACAAGCTGCTGGGCGACGAGAACGACGACGAGCTCCTGAAGAGTCCGGTTAGCACGCCCACAACTGTGGCCATTCCCGAGTTGCTGGCTGAGGCGGCAGCGGGTGCTGTGCCTGCTGGGCCGGCCAAGAAAATAGTCCTCAAGCGAAATAATTCCCAGCAGTCGACGGGTACGGCGGCCAGCACGGGGACAACGCCGTCCAAGGAGAACGAGGCACCGACTACAACCGCTGGCGAGGCCACAGAGGAGACTCCCACCAAGAAGCACAAACCCATTGTGGTGGGTCCGAAAACTGAAGGCGAGAAGGCATCCGGCGACAAGAAACTCACCCAGTTGACCGCCCAAGAGCGACTGGAACTGCGGGCCAAGAAGTTTGGCATCACGCCAGTTGCATCCCCGGCTGTGTCCACCGCAGCATCCACGGTTGCTGCAGCCATCAACAAATCCTCGAGCGCCTCCATTACGGCCAACAAGGGCAACAAGGAGACGGAGGAACAGCAGAAGGAGGCTCTCAAGAGGCGCGCCGAACGTTTCGGATGCGTGGTGCCCGAAAAGGCAACTAAAGCCGGCGGAGATGATCGCCTGCAAAAGCGGAAGGAGCGATTTGGAGCAGAAGCAGCCGCAGCAGCAGCCACGGAAGCCACCTCGACGGGCGCCACAACGGAATCGAAGGACAAATGGTCGGAGAAGGCACGTGCTCGCTTGGAAAGATTCAAAACAGCTCCGGCCGCAGAGGCTTCCAAATAGGGCCACAAAAACTAACCACTTGCGCAGGCAGATACAATTGTAAATCCCTTCCGACGCAGGAAGTCTATGCATTCATATATCGAACCCCAAAGCCACCAATGCTTGTAGCGATTAAGGAAAATTTCAATAAAAGTACATCCTATCATGACCATACAAATTCTCAGGGGCTTACATGCTTTTATTTCCTTTAATTCAATGACTTAAAAATATTTTGAATCGCGTCTTCGGATTTATTGGGGATTCTGTTTTTTTTTTTTTTTGGAACGTCAATAATCATAATATTAGTCTGTTTAATAATATGCGTATATATAAAAAAGTTATACAAATATGTGGGTGCATTCGTTTGGGTGAGCTCTTCGTGCCTTTGATTACAATTATTCCGATATTGCGTGTGAAATAAGGAAAATCGGCTTGTTGGTCATCTGAGGATGTGGACAATGCTTCAAGTGTCGGTTGGCGCCAAAAGCCGAAGAACTCGGAACTTAATGGCCTGACTTAAAAGTATGTTACTTTAATGTTGCGTCCATCCAGACGCGAGCCATCCATGAGCGCTGAAAAGAGGGTTGCATTTCGTAAAACAAAGGATTCTAATTTTGAATATCACTCACCTATGGCCAGCTCGGCATCACGCTCCTTGAAGAAGCGCACCACGCCCACATCATTGCCGCGGATCTCAGCAAACTTGACGTCCCCGATCTCACGGAACTTGTCGCGCAACGTCTGCCAGGTGCAGCTCATTGGAACGTTCTTGATGATGATGGTGTCCGACTTGCGCGACCCACCGCCAGCATTGCCGGAGCCAACATTCGAGTTGCCCACATTGCTGCCGCCGCCAAAGAGGTCCAACTGGTTGCCCGTGTTGTAATCGTTGCTGTCCACGCCGCCTCCTCCATTGCCACCGCCAACTCCACCGGAGCTGCTGTAGGCATTGTATCCCACATTGCCGGAGCCGCCAACACCGCTGTAGTTGTTGCCGGAGCTGTAGTTGTTGCCACCGCCGCTACCGCTGCTATAGTTGTTTGAGAGGCCCACGTTGCTCGAGGCCAGGCTGTCATCGTTGCCCGAGTTGCCGAGATTGAGACCCAGGTTGTTCAGCGACGAAGTCAGCAGGGGGTTGGACAAATTGCCGCCCTGGCTGCCGAGGTTGCCGACCACGGCGGCCAACAAACTGGGGTTAAGATTGTTCAAGTTCAAACCGCCGGTTCCAGAGTTATTGCCCAGACTGGGCTTCTGAACCGGAGCCACCGGTGATGGCTGCACTGCGGCATGATTGCCGAACATCACGCCGGTTAGATTGTTCAGCAGATTGGTGGTGGCGTTGCTCACGGCGCTGCTGTTGGGCTGGCTACCCACGGAACCCAGCTGCGATCCTTGCTGCGAATTGCCAAGCAACTGTCCCTGGCTCTGACCTCCGTTGGGCAGGTTGTGGGCGACATCCTTTAGCGGCTCACCGTTGGGTCCCAGGCCAATGCCCACGCCACCCAAGCCCTCGGGCAGCTTGACGCCTTCGTTCTTGTCCGGAATGCGATCCAGGCGCACGGTCATGCGGCGATCGAAGAGCATCTGACGGTCCAGCATAGAAATGGCCTGGACAGCCTCCACGGGATGATCGTACTCGATTACGGCAAAGCCGCGACTGTTGCCCTCCTTGTCCAGCGAAAGATCTACGCTCTGCACTTTGCCGGCCAGCTTGAAGACCTGCTTGAGCTTCTTGTTGTCCACCTTGTAGTCCAGCTGCAGGTAGTTTAATAGAGAGAGATTAGCAGTGTGTCAATCCGATGGCTTAGCCACTGAAATGGTTTCGAAAGGCGACCGACCATGCTGATTCAAACCACTGTCTTTGACAAGAACCATGCTGCAAAGCTATGCTGACGATAGATGAGAATCTCAGGAGAGTCAGTCAGAAACCCAATGCAATAGCCCAAGACGACGTCGAATTTCTTTAAGCCTGGAGCTGCTTCATATTTATAACCCATTTACGCGGAAAATTCATATATGAGGAGTGTGGAAAAGGCAAAACACTGCAACCAACCAGCCGTCAGGGAACTTTCCAAGTCACGGCTGCTTCACACGAACCAATTGGTATTAAACAAGTAAACCGAAATAAAATGTTTTTCAATGGAAGATTTTGAATAGCCCAATTTAAAGTTGCCAAAAAAGTAACTTTGAGGAGGTAAAGCAGACTTCTAAGACCCATAATAAACCAGATAAAAGTGTACATTTCACAATAAACAAAAAGAGTGTATAGCCATCTGGAAAAAAGAGTTTTTGCCTTGTGGAATCATTTGAGTTTCCCGGTGATTTACCCAGGTCCTTTTTAGTTTTACCCAGTCCGATAACCGCATCCTGTACTTCCGTCTCTCGTTTGTACCTTCGAAATGCATCACAAATTCGAAAAAGGAAAGGAACCCAAGGAAAGGATCTCGAGGATAGAAACAATCAAGGCAAGTAAACAAATTCCTCCCTGACGATGTAATTTACTTGGGTTATAAATACGAAGCAGAGACCCCGTAACAAGAACAAAACGCAGCATATTTGTAGTGTGGTCCGGTCTAGTTGAATACTATACATAGGATTATTGGAAGTTTAAAATACAATATACTCACATTAGCAACAAAAACCTTATTATGCAAAGGTCCACTTATGCCAAGACTCTCCAAAAACGAAGCAGAAAGCCCATACAAATTGTAATTCGACGAATTATTATAATCATTTGACATCATGTTAAAATTATTTCGCCCAGATCTAGAAAAAGAGAAGCCAGAGATCCAGAGAAAGATGACAAAAAGCACAGGTAAGCTTCAGCTACGAAAGAGTGGGATGCCATGAGAGCCGCAGGATCTTCAGACACGTTCGCTAGTTTACCTTCTGTTAAACTGACCCAATTTCGAATCATATTTCACTTTTCTTTTAAATAGCTTTATAAATAAATTACTTGTATTAGTTTCTTTTTTATGCGACTTCAAATACGACGACTTCAAATAAAGTAACTCCGATGCATCAATTTAGAAATGTAATCGCAGCATCCTTGGTTTATCAAACAGAATCTCATAAAAATGTAAATTATTGACAAATTTAAATCAAATTGGTAATGACACCAAAGAATTGTCTAGAACCAACTACATAAATTCAAAATCGCCTAACAATCCAAACAGAACAGGAACATCTCGCTGATAAATGTATATAACTCATCGGAGTCTTCGAAAGAACTTCGAAAATTGTGAAGTTTTACAGATAAAATTCGACTGAGTATCACCAGAATATAACAATTTACCTTTCTTGGAATAAATATAAATATTCAGCCCTTGCACATATATAATTCTTATATACCTATTAATTAAATAAGCGATTTGTTGGTAAATATACATTCCGAATATACAAAAGAACTTTGATACGAAAACTTAAAGAGCTCGGAGTACAAAACTAATTCAGCTGTTTCCTCATAAATACCAAAACGGATACCGATCTAAATTTGAAGTTTCTTAAATTGAATAATACATTTTCTGCAGGAAAATATCTTCTGAATACAGGAGCTCCATTGATGCGTTCTAAATACAAAACCAACCACTTACAGATTCAATATCTAGCGATCTATACTGAACATACATAAGAATACCTCAAACTAATTGATTGAAACCGCAGTCGTTGATAAATATGTAACAGAGACCACTGCCAGCTGGGAAGTTTTTGAGAATTGGGTAATTTATGCGTGCTACGAACTCTGCTTTCCTGCTCCAGAACATCGAAGAGAAGTACACATACAGGATATTAGCATAAGGGGGTACTCACAATCTGTCGTCGTCTCGCCGGGAGAAGCCGCGATCGCGGTCATCCATGTGGTCACGGCCACCGCCGCCGCCTCCTCCGCCGTTGTTGCCGCCATTTCCGCCTCCTCCGCCGCCGCCGCCTCCACCACCGCCTCCGGCTCCATCGCGGACAATCCGGCCGTACTGGTCGCGCTGCTCGCCGTGGTCCTCCTTGACCACCAGCTCGCGCCCGTTGACCTCGTAGCGGTTCATCTTCTCCATGGCCTTCTGCACGTTCTCCGGATCCTTGAACTCCACAATGCCGCAGCCACGTGCCTTGCCGCTCTCGTCGAAGAACAGCTGCACGTACTCGATGGAGCCGACGATGCGGCGGAACAGATCCTTCAGATCCTGCCAGCGGTAGTCGTACGGAATGTTGGAGATGTAAACCCGGCAATTGCGACGTTCGCGGCTCCGGTCGCGAACATTGTTGCCGCCGCCACCGCCTCCTCCTCCGCCTCCCTGGTTGCCGCCGGCGTTTCCATTACCGTCTGCGTCCGAGAAACGGGAGCCACGGGCTCCGCGTCCACGACGATCGCGCTCCTTCTCACGGTTCTCCACGGAGTTGCCTGCGTCCATGTTCATTGTCGACTGCAATGGAACCCCAATGTGTTTGTAGTTTTTGTAATTTCTGCAGTAGTACACACAAACGTCGGCGGCGTCGGCGAAAACAAAATGGCGACCGCGTCAATGGACTTTTCGGTCCAATGTTCTTTTCTGTTTTAGTTTACCTTTCTGTACTGTAGTTGTACTCTTGAGTACTCGCTTTTCTTTCTGCTTTCGGCGTAGTTACAATTATGCAATAAACTTTTTGTGAAATTACAATTTCCGATCGAAAAACAGCACAGAATTTTTTTGTTAGCGATTAATGTGACCGGTCTGATAAAATCCACAAGTTCCACACCATTGACACAAACCCAATTTCGGAGCTGTCAACTCTTTTTCTACATCAATCATTATATCGATAGCTTGTCCAGTTCTATCGATTAGGTATCGGCATTTTTCGAAGATTCGTTCGAATTCGAATTAAATCGCAGCCATATTGTTTTCTTACGCGCGCAACATAAGAATTCAAATTAATGTAAACTAAATTGACCTTATCATAAAAAGGCGAATACATAATTTAACTTACTTTTTTCCTTCCTAAACGTTATTAAAACCTCAATAGCTAAATAGTACACACAATCGATTTATTTCGTTCCTTTTTGTATGGCAAAAATTAATACAAAAAATTAAATATTAAATGTATGTATGTATGTATAAAAAGCTTAAAGCAAACTATATAATGTAAATTTAATTGGCTGCTTTTTTTCTCTCCGGTTGATCTGTCAGTATGGTAAGTAGAAAGAAAGGCATTTTCTCAAGAACTCATGCGGATTTCAATTTTATCGTCGTAGCACCACAGAAGTGTGTTTAGCCCAACAGAAATCTAGTTTGGGGCTAGCGAATTCGCTCGTTTGTGCGAGCTGTGAGCTTATCGGTCATTTGTTTGTTGTTTTTTGTTTTTTCTCTAATGATGAAATGAATACTAATGGAATTCTGCTCGTGCGTGTGTGCGGTAAAGATTGTATATGGCGACGGGTTAAAACTAATTGATAACAGAGTTCTAAAAGTTCACAATAATTGTTTACATCGCGATTCGGGCTCAAACACGGATTATCTGGTAAAGTACAAACAACATAGAATCGAGTTTAGTGCTGGTTGAAAACAAACGGATATAGCAGCTGAACCAAGGCAGTTACAACAGTATTCATAGTTTTTATGTAGAGGTACATATTCATTTTCGTTTTCGATTTGCTTCGTTCGTTTTTGTTTGCTTGTTATTGTTAATACTCTTAAAAGGGCGCCTCGCAGCCTTTCAAACGACACAAAACACACACATTCACAAAATCATTTTGACGTACATAAAACTCTAGTTACTTAAATTAATTACAATTTCTCTCTTTTTATCTGACAATTGCACCGACCAACACGCTGCCACATGTGTGTGTTTTTCGCATTGCATGTCCAGAATGGACAAACCATCGATCCCGAGACGATCGGCGATTCGCCGACGCACATACAGACAATCAGGCGACATTTGAAGAAATAAAAAGTGAATAATAACCGATGCGAGGCCGTTTAGAGCATTTTACATTTAAATCTACGATTCGGCTTGTTCATTTTGCGGCCCCTCCGTCCCTTGTTGTCCTTGTCCTTGCGGATTTCGCGCACCAGTGTGTAAAATGCATCGTCCACGCCCATGCGCGTCTTCGCGGATGTCTCAATGTATGGAATGCCGTACTGTTTGGCCACCTGGGAAGTGAGATTGATGAATGGAATACTCGTTTGGAACCCTGGAGGCCTGTACTCACTTCTCTTGCCTGCTCGTTGTTCACATTCCACGAGGCCAGATCACATTTGTTGCCCACCAGCACCATGGGCACCTCCTCGGCGTCCTTCACGCGCTTGATCTGCTCACGGTAGGTGCCGATGTCCTCGAAGGACTTCGCACTGTTTACGGCAAAGACCAGCAGGAAGCCCTCGCCGGTTCGCATATACTGATCGCGCATGGCCGAGTACTCCTCTTGGCCGGCGGTGTCCAGGATGTCCAGCAGGCAGGTTTCCCCATCTGTGGAGAAACGGAAGAGATTTAGAATCCGGGGGGGGAAAATTCGAAATTTCTCGAAAGGGACAAAGATTCAGATGGAGTACTCACCGATAACCACTTGCTTTCGGTAGGAGTCCTCGATTGTGGGATCGTACTCGTCCACGAAATGGTTCTGGATCAGCTGGATGGTGAGCGCGGATTTGCCCACGCCTCCGGCTCCCACGACCACCAGTTTGTATTCCGTCATTTGGCGTCCGTTTTCGATTTGCCGTAGTCGCTCTCGCAGTCACAGTCGCTGTCGCAGTCGCGGTCACAGTTGCAGTCACAGTTTCTCTCTCGCGATCGATGCTTTACTCTCTTTGTCGAGCGCCCGCAGCTGCAGTCTCTCTCTCCGTGCGCTTGTTGTGTGCGTGTGTGTGTGTGGGTGAATGTGTGTATGGGCTGCAAGTGGAGTAAATTATTAATTAAGATTGATTAAAATAAATTAAAGGCATAATTAGGCAGGAATTAATGCACGCCACTGAGTCACTGCGACTGGCGCTCACTCGCACACACGCACTGCATGCACACAGCCAGACGGGCGAAAAAAAGAAGAGATCAATGACTCAAACTAAAAATTAAACTCGGGCGCTGCAGGCCCCCGATGCAAATTAATCTCGGAATCTCACAGGAATCACGTAGGAATTAACCGCACTGCGTTATATTTCGACTTTTTCTTAGTTTCCTTATTTTTCTTTTGCCTGCCGGGGCTGCGGACCTTCTTTGTTGCTGCCTTTTCAGCTAGCTCCTCCTTGTTTTTCCGCTCCTCTTTCCCTCTCTCGCTCTCGCGCGCGGCGCAGTTGCTGGGGCACGTTTCACGTCTCGTTCGCGGCTAACGGTGCGACAGGCGGACTCCTCGACGGTGCGACTCTTGATTTCCGTGCAGTAATTGCAATTAACGGCGCAGGAAAACAATAAATTCGTATATAAAATGTAGATGAAATCTAGGCTGTACGTAGCTTAGAGTGGAGAAACATCGATGGAAACATCGATACGCCGATGCATCGAAACATCGATGTTTGGCCGCTATCATCGATGTTTTTCGTTTTAAAAATGACTATTGGCGGAACTGCTATTGAGTAGTCCTCGTCGTTAGGATGTATTAAAACGTTTATTTATTTTATTTAATTCAACAGAATTTAAAATATTTTCATAGCAGCGTTCTAAAAAAGAACGATAGTAAACCAGGTTGGCATGTCCTTGACAAACATTTCTTAGCATGGACGCAAACCTGTGCCCAATAGATCGCCCACCACTGTTACGAAAACAGCATGGACAGATTGAAATTCAACAACTTGGTAAATAATTAATTTTAATTAAAACTGGTGCCTGTTGATCAATGAGATTCCCCACAGGTTATAACCAACAAGAAGGTGATCCAGAAGGCACGCGCACAGACCATCGCCAAGCTCGTCCAGAAGCTGCGAAAGACCAAAGATGTTCTGGCCAAAAATCCGGACAGTGAAAAGGAGAAGATTCGTCTGCGCAAAAACAGCGAATGCCTTTCCCAGTTGAAGGCGCTGAAATGTCTGGACATAGTGCGTCAATCGCTCCTCCAAGAGGGCACAAATCCAAATGCAGTGATCGCCAACGAGCGCTCTACTCCGGATGAACTGGGCATCGCCATGCTGCGGCTAAACAAATTGATGCACGGACTGGTGGACACTTTCGTGGAGACCCTCAAGCTGACCACCGATAAGGAGGCCAAGTGGCGGGAGGAGATCCTGGAGACGAGCAAGCGACGGGTCAAAATAGAACGCACTGAGGAGCGAAAGAGGAAACGCAAGGAGCTCAAGGAGCAGAAGGCTCAGACCAAGAACAGATTAGAGTGGTTGGAGCAGAACAAAGTACCCGGAGCAGAGGTTCCACCAACGGCAGCGGAGGATACATCTACTATAGAAGGAGCCCAGGTGGAAAAGCAAGAGACTTCCGAGATTGAGACTCCAGCCAAAACAGAGAAACCTACAGCTCTTAACAAAGAGAAAAAGGACAAGAAAGTGGCCAATAAGGAGAAGAACCTAAGGAAAGACAAACCTTTTTCCAAAAAAGATGAGATGCCTGGACCAGCGACTCCTAAGCCAGTTTTCAACAAGGAATCCGTTGAGAAAGTTAATGAAAATAGCACAAAACCCCAAAAAGAAGTCAAACCAAAAGAACCCAAACCAAAACCCGTGGAAAGAAAGCCAGCCAAGGAACAGAAGCCCAAACCTCGACCAGAAAGGCAGCCTAGCATTGAGGAAGATGAAGAGGAACCCACTCCTGACAGCAATCGTCCCACACATGTGGTCGATCCCTTCTTCATCACGGAATCTGGACAGCCCTACTTGTCCACCGCGGTGGTTCTTTCCGGGGACAATGACAGCGAAGCTGAAGAGGAACAAAAACCACCGCCAGTCAAAAAGTTCCGCCACGAAGAGCGACGGACAAATACATACCGTGAAAGACCCGAGAGACAGCAAGAGTTCAAAGCGAAAAAGCCAACTGACGACCGTCATCCCTCCTGGCTGGCCAAGCAGCAGCAGAAGCCCATCATCGGTGACTTTAAGGGCAAGAAGATCACATTCGGCGATGATGGTCAGGCGGCCGAAATCACTGCTCCCAAAATCAATCATTCAACTGCGACCGCACCTCCTTCATCCACCGACGGCATGCATCCGTCTTGGGTGGCCAAACAGAAGTTCAAGCCCAAAATCGCCGCCTTTCAGGGCACCAAGATTAAGTTTGACGATGAATAAAGAATGTTAATAGTATTTTCTTGTTTTATTTACTAAGTAACTGCAATCCTCTCCAGCTCAAACGCCAACTTTGGGCACATAGTGACCACGAATCTTGTCGTCGTTGCGCAGCTTGTCCACATTTACATCGGGGAACTGGCGACGCAGCGCATCCAGGTCAAAGTTGGGATTGCGGCGCAGGATCATCATGACTTCGTTGCGGGAGCGACTGGAAAAGAAAGAGGATTTTAATGGAGATTCTCGATAGGAACGAAGGGCAACCCACTTCTTGGCCTTGCGCTTGGCATTGTACAGCTTCTCGCGGTACTTCAGCAGGAATCTGTTGACAGCCCGACCACCAAAGCCAATGTTGCGGGATTTTATCCATTTCAGGTTCATGAAGGGCGGCAGGTAGTGTTCGCAGCTTCTGTAGGTGACCTGCAGGCCAAAGGCATTCTTCACCGCCTTGTGGGGCCGCTCACCGGTTTCACCGGTCTCCAGCAGATGATACGCCTTGTTGCGCTCCCTCACCACTGTCTCCAGGTTCTCCATGGAGATTTTCACCTGCAATTAATGGTTTTATATAGTGATCCCTGTTATCAAAGATTACCTTACCTTATCAATACGCTCCGGACTGGGAAAGACCTCCATTTTGTCGTTGCACTCGTGCTCCATGGTCAGCAGCATGTTGCGCTCCTTGAGGAGCACGAACCACAGCTGGTGCAGCTCCTTGTTGGACTTGATGCGCAGCTCCTCCGTGCGCCACGCGCGACCCACCTTCACCTCGTTCTCGCTCCAGTTCTTCTTGTCGTCGAAGAACTCCATCAGATCCCGGCGAACGGGGGAAGTGTGCATCTGCATCGCGGGAGCATGCGGCGTTTGCAGGGCCACCGCACTACATATTACATAAAAACAAAGGCGCGCTTCGGTTAGTTATCCTGTGTGAAACTTGGTTTTATCTGATCTGACGCACCTGCAGGCCGGCCATGCCTGCCTGGGAGCGGCCAGGAAGCTCTTGACCGTCGCATTTCCCACAGTTTTAGCCAAATTAAAACATTTTTTTAACGCCGAAGACATTTTTCCCACCGAACAGCTGTAAGAGCTGGAACAACAATCGATTATATCGAATTGACGGTTTGTGTACTCACTAATCCGTTAGCGGAGTTACCCTCCAAACTAGGGTTGCCACCGAGTGATCGTTATCGACGTTTGCCCAGCTCTAGTTCAGTGCTCAGTGCTAATGAAAAATCGAATTTTTCGCCTCAAATCGACTGAAGTTTACACGGGCAAAGTATTACAGGAGTTAAATTCTAGCGGTTACACAACATGCAATAAGTAAATGTAAGTGAAGTGGCCACTCCCCGCAAAAGGGCGGTGCGATGCCGTTCTATCTATTTGTTCTATCCAAGCCACTTTGTATGCAGGAACGCCAAGTTTTCCGTGTGGGTGTGTGCGTGCTTGTGAGTGTGTGCTGGTGTTTGTGGCATTCAGTACACAAATTTAAATTGATAAAACTCAACAAAGGCAGCGGTTCTGAATTGCAACGAGTGCATTCCCTGCAGTGCCAAGTGCTTATTAATTGTGCATTTATCACAGCAAATTTGAGGAATTTGCACCTCTAAATGGGCGAGCCAAAACAGATTCATTGAACAAAAAAAAGAATACAACAAATCTAGAGCGATGTAGTAATTGGCCAGTGTTGCCGAGCTGCTCCGAATGGTTAGTGTGCAGTGCAGTGTAGCATACATAAATATTTATCTCGCGGCGTTATCAGGCAGCATTATTATTGAAGAGAAAGAGTGTATAATTGGGCGTTACATTTGTTTTTCGGATGTGCCGCGATGGTTATATAAAGTGCAGACCTTCATCGAATTAAAAGGTCAGCGAGTGAATTGATTGATCAATTTGGCAAGGGGCAAGGGGGCGGACAGGGGGAAGTATCTTGTAGGGTTTTCTTTTTTCGCCTTTCCTGCTTTTCTCATTTCTCTCTTCCCGCTTTTCGTAAGGCTTTTCTGCTCGACGGTCTGCTCGGTGAACGCCCAAAAACACAAACAAGTCTCTATGTTTGTAGTGTCGCTATGTGTGTGTTGTTTTTTCTGCTTTTGGTGACTGGGGTTAATTTCTCGGTGTCGCCTCAATTATCCGGCTTCTGCATATTCCTCCGCTTTGCTTTGCTGGACTTCTGGTGACACTTGTTGCCCTTGTTAGCAGAGCTCTTGGTTTCAATTCCCAATCCCCCGGAACCCTCGTTATATCGTGCGATAACCTTTTGTTTGCGCCTTATTTGATTATCATGTTCGTAATAGAAGTAACAACAAATAGCTGAATTTTTGGTTCTCCAAACTCAGCGAGATTCTCGAGGGCCTTTATCAAGTATTCCTCCAGTTTTTAGTTTCCGACGCCCATATTATAGCGATAATTACGTACATGTGGGTATTTTTATGAGCTGTGTTTATCTTTAACCCTCATTTGGCCACTCGTAATTGCACATGCTTAGCATTCTCCATAAAAAATAACATCAGAGTAACTATGACAACTCACTCTAGTATAATTGGCACATCGTGTCGTATACGTGATTTTTTGATGAACAGCTCAATTGTATGGTAAACTCCTTCTCTAATTTATGGATTTCTCGTGATCTGCTAGACAAACACTAACATGATTAGGAAACTCAGTAATGATTTATTTACAAGCTTTACTTGTTGTTTGTATAGGCCTTTATTTAAAGCAGCGGTCGGCACACACATACTTTGACATTTTGTTTTAAATTCGTGTGCGTAATTTACACTGACAGCTCATCGATGTGGGTGTGCAGACCGCTGTTCTACAGTGTACGTGAGCGAGCAGCGGCTGGGCAGAACGAAACCCTATGCTCATTTAATAGGACGCTGCCGACCGCTGATTTAAAGAAAACGAATTTTACTGATACAAGTATAAAAGATAATGCATTCAGACAATGAGCTGTTTCTTTCCTTATTATATGATTGAGGTTTTTAAAATATTAGTTTTCAGATTAGTTAGGCTTCATTGGAAACTATGATTTTCAGTATTCGTATTAACTCAGATCAACTAGGCATGACTTTCATCTACAGTCATTTGCTTTTTAAGGTCTTATTACCTACACTGAACCAATTATTATAGAATATTATAAAAATATTATAGAAATAACAACTATTTAGAATAATGTAAGCTAATATAACCTAGTTCTAAACATTTTCTGTGTGCCTGGTAATGTGGAGGCAGTGAGTAGTTGTGCTGTATTCTCTTAAAGCTCTGCTCTATTCATTAAAATGTGCGTGTGCATTGAAGAAGAAAGCCAACGAAAGTTGTTCGCCACATTACCGGCAACGTTGCAACATCGGGCGTGTTGTAACCGTGTGCAAGTTGCGCGAAATCCGACCGAACGAGAAAAACGAGAGACTCGCGGCGTAAAGTAAACAGTAAAATGTAATGGAGAAAGAGCAGGGAGCACGGAGCAGCAGCCACCTCCTCATGGGAAGCATTACCAGGTCGCCAGTTGAAGAGACCGCCAAATAAACCTCAATCCTCGATCTTTCTCTTTTCCCCTTTTTCTCTCTTTTCCGAAGACCGAAGAGCTGAAATGTCGCAAAAAGAACTGGCGGCCCTTGTCGCCTCAAGAACGAGCCGCAAGCGCACTGTGCCCTCGAGTGCATCTCCAATGGTCTCCCGCTCGGAACCGAGATCCATCATAGAGATCCATATATCCAATGACTCCTCGACCACAAAGAGAGCTTGCCGGGAGGTGGAGAAACCCGCTTTAAGGGTGGAACAGCCCCAGCAGGAGGAGGAGGAGAACCAGGGTCAAGTGCCACCGCTGACCGAAGAAGAGCAGCAGCGGCACAATGAGTTTCGGACCAGTCGCTCGATTTTCCTGCAGGATTTGCCCTGCTTCAAGCTGCAGCAGGCCAAACCAGCAGCAGGATCCTCGCCAATTCCCAAGTGTCGCGAGTGCCGAAGAAGGAACTTAGCCACCAAGGAAGGCGAAACCAGTGCCGTCAGCGATGTCTACTGCCGGTTCTATGAGTTCCGACGCCTTCAGTTCAACGAGAAAGGAGAGTTGGGCGTGGTTGGCTTCCCGAATCCCTACAGCGAGCCCTCGCCGGAGGACATTGCCATCTGGCAGCCGGACGGGAATACTGCCCCGACTAGCGGCTATATGGACATACAGGTGTGCAGATACATCCTGCTCCATGCTGGCGACCAGTTTTGCTATTTGTGGCGCCAGGAGGCGGAGGCTTTGAGGCTGCATCAGAATCCGGACGGCACCATCGCTTGGAAGAAGGCCGTGAAGGGCACCCGAGAGATTTGCGACGTGTGCGACACCACGCTGTTCAACTATCACTGGACCTGTCGCAAGTGCGGCTTTGGAGTGTGCCTCGATTGCTTCAAGGATCGCAAGGAGGGACAGCGACTGCGTCGTGCGGAGAACGCAGCCCAGAAGGGATGCGATGAGTACCATTGGCTGCTCTGCACCGATCCCAGTGGCCCCCAGGAGCACGCTCTCACCGAGCTGATGCTCACGCAGATCATTGCCGGCGATGCCCTCAACGTCTTGGGCAGGCTGCTGCACGAAGTGCGAACCTTGTGGCAGGTGCCACAGGTGTGCGGCTGTCTGCTGAGCAAACAGGCGGTGGATGACGCTCAGCTAAACGAGCTGATCCAGGATATGATCAAGGAGTCGCAGTTGAAGCAGCACACAAGCTTCTCGTCGCTGGCTTCCGAGCAGAAGCTGCACCAGCAGCAGCGCCTCGATCAGCTGCACGCCAAGAAGCTGGAGTTCGCCAGGGAGCGGGGCATAGACTATGTGCCGGGAAGAGTGTGGACCAAGGAGACCCTGGGAAAGGACCCCATAACCACGGCCTTTGACAACTTCAAGCACATTAACTTCCTGAGAAAGGGACTGGCCGGCTTAAGGCGGTTCCTTCCACCCAGGGCCATGACTTTGGCCCATTCCACTCAATTGGCACCGGGAGTTCCGCACGAGTGGCTCTGCGATGGCAAGCTGCTGCGCCTCACGGACGCAATGCATCCGGATAATCGGGTCCTCTACCAGGAGGTGTGGAAGTGCGGCCAGCCCGTGATGATTTCGGAGGTGGCTCGCTCTCTAAACTTGGACCTATGGCATCCGCAGGCCTTTTGCCGGGACTTTGGCGACAAGCCGAATGATCTTATTAATTGCCTGAATGGAAATCTGGTGCCCAATCAGCCGATGCGACACTTTTGGGAGGGATTTCAGTGCATGAACAAGCGTCTACTGGATGCAAATGGCAAGCCCATGCTGTTGAAGCTTAAGGATTGGCCGCCGGGAGATGATTTTGCCGAAATACTGCCCACCAGGTTTGCTGACTTGATGAAGGGACTGCCCATGCCGGAATACACGTTGCGCACGGGAAACCTAAACATTGCTAGCTGTCTGCCCAAGATGTTTGTTCCACCCGATTTGGGACCAAAGATGTACAATGCTTACGGCTCGGCCTTGCATCCCGATAAGGGGACCACCAATCTTCACTTGGACATCTCGGATGCAGTCAATATAATGGTGTATGTGGGAATACCCCAAGATGGGGACACTAAACCGCAGCTGGCGGCCACGCAGAAAGCCATAGCACTTGGCGGTTGCGATTACATCACTAGAGCACGTTGCCAATCGCCTGATGTCTTACCCGGAGCCCTTTGGCACATCTTTCCGGCTCGCGATGCGGATAAAATAAGGGATTTGCTTAACCGCGTGACCCTGGAGAAGGGCTTCCGCCTGGAGCCCGATCACGATCCCATTCACGATCAGAATTGGTACTTGGACGATAAGTTGCGCGCCCGTTTGTTCAAGGAATATGGCGTTGAAGGGCATCCCATTGTCCAGTGCTTGGGCGATGCTGTTTTCATACCGGCTGGCGCTCCTCATCAGGTTCAGAATCTCCACAACTGCATTAAGGTTGCCGAGGACTTTGTCTCGCCGGAGAACATCACTCACTGCTATCATCTCACCCATGAGTTTAGAAGACTCTCGCACTCGCACACAAATCACGAGGACAAGCTTCAGATCAAGAATATTATCTACCACGCCATCAAGGATTGCTGCACCATCCTCACCAGAGCTCTGGACGAGCGAATCGATGCGGAGATGGCCAAGCTACAAGCCGATTAGATTTCATTATCACACTTGGTGTTCTTAAGTTTATTCTCCTCCGCTTACCACTTATTTTTTTTACAACAGTGTTCTAACCCTTAAGATTTTAATTTGTCAAAAATTCAATAAATACGTACTTAGCAACAAATAAAATCGTATATTTATTTAATTGTATGAAAAACATTTTAGATCTTTAAGAATTTAAATTCTAGTGTCTTTGTAACTATTGATTATTTAAAATTAATTGATTTAAACTCTTTAGTATCTATATAGAAAACACTAAGTCCGAGAAAGATACTCGCCAGCAACAAATGCCCATGCATGCTGAGGACGGAACTGAAACTGATGATGAGGAGTCCATCCCAGACAGACTGTAGCATCGTAAAGATCGTACTACTAATCGGGGGTCCCTAGAGAAGTCAAGTCAATTACAACGCCAGAAAGCCTTTTACGTTATTTGAGAGAGGAGAAGGAAAATAGGATTTTGCTAAGCTAGCATAGAGATCGAACTAATCAGAATTCAACTAAGATGACGGTGGATTTCAACGATTATTTTTGGGTAAGTCAATTAAATTTTTGGTGAGCTAGCAGATAAATAAATAGACTTTTTATTAATAGGGCGAGAAGAACAATGGGTACGATGTCTTGTACCACAACATGAAGTTTGGCCTGGTGGCCAGCAAGGAGTTGTCCGAGTTTCTGCGCGAGAAGTCCAACATTGAGGAGCAGAACTCGAAGATGATGTCCAAGCTGGCCCACAAGGCAGGTACACTGAACAGTACATTTGCTCCCGTTTGGACCATACTGCGAACCTCGGCGGAGAAGCTATCCACCCTCCACTTGCAGATGGTTCAGAAGCTGACCGAGCTGGTCAAGGATGTGGCCAAGTATGCCGACGAGCTGCACAAGAAGCACAAGTCCGTCAAGGAGGAGGAATCGCAAACCCTCGAGTGTGTTCAAGCCATCCAAACGTCGACGGTGGCAGTGCAAAAGTTGCGAGACCTGTACGCCGGCAAGGTTCAGGAGTTGGAGAAGTTACGCAAGGACAACGGCTCGCACAAGGATGCCGAGAAGCTGGAGAGCAAGCTGAAAAAACTGCAGGAGGAGTACAAGGCTTTGTTGGACAAGCATAACCCCATTAAGAACGAATTCGAGAGACGCATGACGCAGACCTGCAAGGTAAAAATACTTCTGTCTTTACTCTAATTTACTAGAAGATAATGTGTTCTGTCTTTGCCCTTCTAGCGCTTTCAAGAGATTGAGGAGGTGCATCTTCGGCAAATGAAGGAGTTCCTGTCCACCTATCTGGAAATGCTGCAGAACAATCACGACATGGTGGGCCAAGTACATTCCGACTTTAAGAGGCAGTTTGTTGACATGTCTGTGGACAAACTCCTGGAACAGTTTGTGCTGAACAAGTACACGGGTTTGGAGAAGCCAGGTATGTAGAGCTAAACAATTATTTATGACCAAAGCTAACTGTAATGCTATTGCAGAAATGCCTGAACTCGAGTATGTGGCCTTGTCAAGTGGCTCTCGACTCCAGCAGCCCCAGGTTTCGGCCACCGCATCGAACTCAAACTCGGCTACCAGCATTCAAGCAGCTCTGCGGGCTGGAAATGCAGCAGCCACAGCCTCGGGCAGCGTGGTGTCCATGGATCAGCGGGGCGATGCCTTGGCGGCGATCTCTCTGGGCAGCGGAAGTGCAGCCAGCGGCAGTATTCCCTATGCCGAGGATCCGATACTGGGAGCCATGGGCTCGCCGCGTCCCACTTCGCCGGACATGCTGGCGGGATCAAATGCCACGGTGAACCAGTCGCAGCCAGCTGGGGGAGCCACGTCCACTGTGAAGAGCCTGCGAAACTGGTTTTTGCCCAATGCCAAGCCGCAGACTTCAGGCGGCGCTGGAAATTTCGGTATGAGCGGATACGGAAGTGGCAACACCAACAACAACAGTACAACCACCACGACAACAACAGCAAGCAACAATAGCAACAATTTGAACACCAACAACACAACAGCAACAACTACAACAACAACAACTGGCACGAATAATCTCACCACCAATATCACCAAAAATTCCCCTATTTCTGAGGATACTAGCAATCAAGGTTCATTATCTTTGTTTTTAATTGGTTTTACTTTTTATTCATTATTTTTGGGTTACCACATATTATGGTTCTTCTGTGTATTTGTAATGTCTATCAGTTTCTTTTGTAAGCCTTATCTGTTTCTATTGTAACACGCTTATTTTATGTTCTTGTATATATTTATGTGGGTGTTACAAGTTTACGTTTACTTTTTTATCAATTGCAATGCTAGATAATTTATTTCAAACGAGGGTGATACTGAAATTTACTTATTCGGATTTCGGATGAAATTTGTATTGATGTAGTAGGAATTTCATCCGAAATTTGGCAAGAATAGATTTATTTATCATCTTCATCTTCTTCAAATTAGTGGCTAATAATGTTTTGTTTTTTATAGAAAGTCTAATGAAGTGAATACTGAGCATTAGAAATATTTATAAACGGTTTATGAGTTTCATTACCCATATTTTCAACATGTATATAATTCTATTCTTTATTATTTTATACTATTTTTGATTTTAGTTTGTTACTATTTGAAATTGTACACTCAAACACCAGCCAATCAATCAGACAAATCTCTCGGGACTTTTTACATAAACTACTGCACATCCATTCGCACACACAATTGCCAATAAGCCATTTAACTAACAGCACTAACCACTGCAATTTATTCTCTATGCTTTTCCTCGTCTTTTTTCCGTCATCCACGCTTTGTACACATCCATCGCATCCACCATCCATCAACCGCCATTCCATTGCTCATCCCAATCATCCATCATCCACTCATCCATGCACCGATCGACTAATCAAAATCAAAACTTTAGATCAGGCACCACAGCAGCCGGCAGAGTCCTTAACTCCAACCGCAAGTGCCACTGCAATTGCAACGGCGAGCGCGCCTGGCAAGAAGCAATTGAACGCAACGACAAGCGAGCAGCAGCTATCGAAATCATTAAATGAGCAAGATCACCTACAACAGACTGCAGCAGCTACGGCAGCAACATCTGCAGCAGCTACAACCGCCACAACGACAACGTCCAGACGTGCAACGTCACTTTTAAATATATTCACATCAAACTCTCAGGGTAAATGATTCAAGAATGTCATTGAAAGTGATTGGCCCCCATTTCACCATCCCCTCCAACTACTAAAACACCTGTACAGCTCCACCACCCAAAAAGAAATGCATGTCCTTAGGCTTAATATGTATATTTAAAGGCTTTTCTGTGTGCTCAACTTATTGTCCTCTCATACTTGATTAACCTTCAGGCATTTTAAAGCACTTTTCGGCGGTGTTTGAGTTCTAAGGAAGACATTACATTTAAGTTTCAACTGTGAACTATCACAAAGCTGTTTTTTCCATCACTGAGGTCTTAACGCAAAGGTACCCTGAAGTGTTAAGGCGCCACCTTCTTTTCCTGTGTGATCTATTAGTCCTTAGCTCGCTTAATAAGTCAATTATTTAACGAACCCAATGTCCTGCTAACATTTATCTAAACCACCTTTCGCCGGCAGTCTCTGGCATTTTGCGAAGTCGCCGCGACAAGACAAAAACCAAAAAGGCTAAGAAAAAGAAAGACAACGAGGCCGCCGAGCACATACAGGAGGAGCGTCTCACCAGGTGGGTTCTGTAAGCCGCAACAATTAAAATCTTCTTCAACTCAAAGCCTTTTATTTTAATTTCCAGCTTGGAGCGGTCCAACAACACGCTGCTGGACTATGACGACCATGGACGCAGCATGAAGACGCAGAACTCCAGTGGCAGTAGCGCTGGTGGAGGCCTGGCCGCCCTGTCGGTGACCTCGGCTCAAGGAAGCGTGGATTCAGCGGGAGCAAGCAGCATGGGCGGCAGTGGAGGAGCCGCCGGTGCCAGTGGAAGTCTGCCTAATGCCGGACCACTGACCAACTCGGCGTCGACCACAGCTCCAGGCGCCTCGAGTGGCACAGGAACTGGATACGAGGTGGACGAGGAAGGATTCAGCATACAGCCGGCCAAGGAAATTGCGTGGGAAGAGGGTCAGGATAAATGTAAGCCATTAAATTTAATTATTTCTATATTTATAAACGACTAAAGTGGCGAACTTTTTTAGCAGGCAGTTTCTATTCCGACTCGGACACGGACTCGGACAATGACAAGCAGGAGCGCCGGATCCACGTAAGCATTAAGCCCTTGAAGAATGGTCAGGCTCCCATGTCGGCCAGCGTGGACGAGCTGCGCGCCACCGTGGAGAATATTTCTCTTTCTCCGACTGGAGTATTTTCAGTAAGTGTAACTAACCAAATTTTTTAAAAGAGTTAAAAAATTAATTTAATATTGCTTCACAAACAGCATCACAGCCAGCAGTTGCAGGCAGCCAGAGGAGGAGCTCCGGCGTCGCGTCAGCAGTCTCCGGAGATATCGAATGCCTCCACTCCGACAGCCAGTGTCCATCCGTATGCTCCGCTGCAGAGTCCCACGCTGTCCAACAATAACAATGCGAACAACACGACCAACAGTCGATATGCGGATCTGGGAGATATCTTCTCGGAGCTGGGAGATATGACCATGTCTGCGCCGTCATCGGCGACTCTGGGCAAACCGCCCGGAAGACAGATTCCAACACCGACATCAGCGTCTGCAGGTGGAAGCATAGCCATACCACGTCCGCCATCACGACGCTCCGATATGATTGCCATCGGACCGGCGGCAACCGGAACAGCACCCGGTCGCGGAAGGATGTCCCCAGCCCCGGTGACTGCCATGAACAGAGCCGAGAGCATTGGCAGCCTCGAGTTCCGCACGGCCATCGGGGGAGTGGGCTCCTCGCGCGGACCCTCTCCACTCACAATCGGTATTTCAGACACCATACCGCTGGCGGTGGCATTCCACGAAATCATACACGCCTATTTCCGGGGCAGCGATGAGTCGCGCTGCCAGGTGAAGGTGTCCGGTGATATGATGCTATCATTCCCAGCCGGCATTGCCGGCCTGTTAGCCAATAACCCCAATCCAGCCAAGCTGGGTTTTCGCATTAAGCACGTTCAGAATCTGGAGAACCTGGTGCCCAATGGAAAGCTGGTGCAAATGTAGGTTTTTCGCTGTTCATTGTTTTCCTTATAACGTTATCTAAAAATCCTTTTACGTATTTTTTACAGAGATCGTCAGCAGTCGAGCACTGTGAGCACCATGCTGGAATTCAATATGGGCGCTTTGACGGCCCTGCTCCGAAAGCAGGCGGAGAATAACCCGACAGCCTCCTACTTCAACGTGGATATACTCAAGTATCAGGTGCGCACCAAGCCGGGAGCAAGCTCGTGTCCCTTCCAATTGGTCAGCTACTGGAAGTGCGAGTCCAGCTACACGGCCCTCAAGGTGGATTACAAGTACAATAACCACGCCATGGCCAGTGCATCGCCTCTGCTGAATGTCACGCTCTCGGTGCCCGTTAACGGATCTGTGCGCAATGTCCAATCGAAGCCGCATTCCGCCTGGTGAGCAAATATTCCTTACAGAATAACAATAGGATATCTCCATTTAACATTTCTTATAATATTCCATTATTATGTTTTTAGGTTGGGTGAATCGAATCGTTTGGTGTGGAACTTTACGGACATTTCGCAGAACTCACAGGACGGCGGAGTGGGGACTCTGCGGGCACGTCTAGAGCTCAACGATGGTCCGTCGACACCGGCGCTCCTGGCCACCCAGTTTAACTGCGAGGGCACCACACTTTCGGGCATCGAGTTCGAGCTCCAGGGCAGCGGCTATCGCTTATCGCTGGTCAAACGCCGATTCGTTTCCGGTGCGTTAAATACACAAGGCATATAAATAGTATTTTAACTCTTTTTTTTTTGCTTTTTCAGGAAAGTATGTGTGCGAGGGCGATGGCATTCGTAGTGGAGCCACGCCAACGCCTCCGTCGGTGGGTTCTACCAGTCCGTATTCGGCGAAGTCAAACTAGTTGCGCTCCATTCAATAGACGGCAATTGGGAACGGAAAATGGCAATATGGCAATAGGCTCGTGAAAAACTAGAGAAATTTTTGTAACTAATCTTAAATATGAGACAAACACATATACACGCAAACCATATTTAATTAGGCACAGGAATAGAGGAGCCCTCTTAGTTTTGTCTGAGCTTTTTATTATCCCCCCTCTTCTTAATTCCGATTTTGATAATATAGTGCGGAATGGGAATTGATAAAGTTTAACTTTACCACAAATTGAAAGTATATAAAATTGTATCAGTTCGTATTCCACCAATGGAAATCAAATTAGAATGAGAAATAGGGCCTATTATGTATTTTTATACACACAAATTTCTGTTTCTCACGCGAAATGTTGAATCTGCCTGCTGGGGGCCGAAATGCGGGTCTGCTAAATCTGGATGTATTATTTGTTATATATACGTACGCGAGTATATATTATTAAAATGTATTTATTATGTTTAACTGAATATGATGTAAACGAATGATTGTATGTAGCTATGTAGATATCTAAAACCACACACCGAACGTTGATTTTATGTTCACTTTTGTACACACAACCAAATCCAAATGTATTAAATGTAAGATACAAAACCTGCATTGCGTCTCGCTTGGAATCTCGATGGATATTGCTTTCGTCACCGGGTGTCTGGATAAGGCGACGCCGCCGAGCTCATGCAACCGGAGTTTGGTCTCTGTTTTCAGCTACTGCCGTTTCTCCGGCGATCAATTAATTATCGAATTTAGGCAAAGAACATGACAAACCTGTTTCGGTCTCTTTGGGGCGCTTGACAAGGCAAATACATATAGGAAATTAGCAGCCCGTTGAAAATAGAATAAACATAGAATGCTGAAATCAAAATCATTAAAATGTGGGTGCACAGATCGCTGGGGAGCATTAGCCTAAAATTTAATTTGTAAATTTCTGTAAGAATCTTTTCTGAATCTGAAAAGCGTGGGGCAGCTGTCGTTGTGTTGCTATTGAAAGGCGATGACGTCATGCCGCCACAAATTGATCTCAAGGTCGAGTCGACGGACGCGTTTTCATTTCACTTGGCACACTTGACTGTGGGCTGCTGCCTTTAAATATATATTGCATTTGCCCATTAAGCAAATACTACTTGTATCTTGTATCTTCTGGAGCGGGGTACAAATGAATCCAATTGATGCAAGGGTGACTGACTGGAGCAGCACAAAAAGTACTCCTCACTTTCCTATGGTTAGCTGACCATAGAGATCTCGTCGCTGGCAAACGATAAGATTAAATTACTAAACAATTGTTGTGTTTATACGAATGCATATTGTATATTGCCCGTGGGTACATAAACCATTAATTGTTCAACAAAAGCAACCGACCTAACACATGTCTGTTGATATACGACATTTACAGCCCTGAAATGTAGAACGCAGTGTCTGTATTTTTAGTTAGATAACAAATTATTAACAGATGCTGGGCGTTCGGCTTTCCGCAAGTCAGTTTCAGTATAATAATAAAAGGTTTTTAATCTGTTCAACAACATTGCACTTTATTTGTATTGACTGCATTAGTAGAGCTTAAGCGTATACATATATTTATATAGATATTACTGGTATAAATTAGAGTGCAAGCTACCTGGGATAGCCTGCACATTTGGGTTTTATTCAACAACTTTCTAAATTAACATTAATCGGTTTAAAATTATGTGGTAGATTAGTTTAATTCCCTTTGTCTGACAAGCGCACCTTATATCAATACACGCGACTCGAAAATATATACACATCCTCAGTGTTTTTGCTAGTAAACCGTCAACTCTCAGTGATCAATTTCACTTCATCCTTGGCACAGTGGTACGAGATTCCTTAAAATGACTCAAGGATACGTCCGAAATGTATGTATATCGTCTTCATAAAGTTGTTTATACCTTGGCCGTATAAACAATAATGAATAGGTGTTTTCAAATAGTGTTATCGGACCCGAGAATCCACTTGTCCCACTGTTCATTTAGTCAATTCAAGTTGATAATTCACATGTGTACATATGTTTTAGCTTGCCATAAATATCGCCGACTTCTGAGTGTGTGCGTGTCTAAATAAACTACGGCTGACATCATTTCTGTTAACATATTCGTAGTTAAGCTCATTATATCGCAAGACACAATTTCGTAAAGTGATTAGTTAGTACATCTTACAGCACTGGGCTCCTCCTCCGCATAGCCGACTAATTCCATTAGCCTGCAAGAGATGAAAGAAGAAATTCGGTTTAAATCGCAGCAACAAGGTCATAAATTCCAATGTACTATCCGCGTATTGTTCGTGTTCATGTATAATTGCTTAATTGCGGATCAAATAGATCATTCGATTCGAACAAACAATGGGGGCCTGGGGCGAAAGATTGGCTGAGGTGAGGGCCCCTCTTTGAAATATTAATATTATTTTATTTTTAGACCTCTCCGGTTTTATTTACAGTAACTTTTATCCGAACCTCGTCGGGAGTGGAATAAATAGAAAAAATAAACGCAAACGTGCCTGGAATAAAAAGTTTTTGTGTGTTCGGCATGCGGTTTTTCTAAAATGCGCAATTGACGCCCGCCGGTTCGGATGAATTTATTTAAACTTTTGCGCTATATAGAGACGTAAAATCGATTTCTATGAACGCCTGTTTATTTGCATATTCCGCTTTATAGCTCAAGTGAAAAATTCCGAAAATTCAAGGTGGAATCGGGCGATCATTTGAGAGTGTTCTAAGCGAGATCAACAACGAGTCTCTCGTTCTTATCAAGTGATTCCAAAATATGTATCTTTAAAGCTAAATAAACAAGACAGCAATAACTATAAACTCGTCTGTGGGCAGATCTTTTTTTAGTCCCCACAATTTGTAGCCAAATGTTCGTATAGTGGATCACCTGGCGGCCTGATAGCGAAAATACTGGGCTACCAATGAAAAGTTGCCTCTGTAGCATGGCAATGCACAGTTAAGCGCTTTGGCCTTATCGGGCGACCTCAGCACATGACCGTGAACGGGGAAATTAATCAAATTGAAAGAAATACCTAATAGGGCTACCGAATAGGTGTGGTCCTCCAGAATTTGGCAGCCTTTCAATGGGCGGGGCAGGCTCTTCGATTCTCAGTTCGAATCTCAATCATTTATAGGCAACTGACTCATGACAGAAACTTCCGTTGCGAAAATCGTGTAGCCAGAAATGTTAGCCAAATGCTTCTATCTGGCGCTCGTATATATATCTCGATGTGTGCTCGGCAGTATATGGAAACCGTTAAACAAACAAACAGTCAGGGCGTTATGTAAAATAAACAAAACGAAGACGAACCCAAGCAAACGGAAGGGCCCCAGAAACTGAAGCGTTTTTAATAGTTTTCCCATTTGTAGCGAGAATGATGATGAGTTTACAGTGACAGCCGGGTAAAGCAAATATTTGAAGAATATTGAATTTTGAACAATGAAAGTGGCTCTGGAAACAACTTAAAGCTAACAGAAACTGATTCAATTCGTAGAAAAGCGGTAAAATTATAGTTCCGCAAGCACAACTAAGGTCTATTTTAAAACAAACAACAAGGGAAAGTCTCTAAAAATAAAAACGTCTCGACCAAACCTCGAAAACATTTTTTTTAGACAAATACATATAAGATGTTTAATACAAATTAAGGCAGAAAGCTAATTGTTTCTAAGAAATGTATTTAGTTTTGACGTTTTTTTACGAGTAATAAACTGAGGATTAGACTCCTGTTTTGTCACTAGAAACTTAAACAGTAAAGAGCATATTTGAATTATTTTAGTACCTATTTTCAAATATTCTCTTGTTTCTATATATTATTAAAAATTGAGTAAAATAATATAATTTATATTTTACAGATATCTTTTATTACGAATTTTAGTTTGTTCTAATCGTAACTTCCCAACATTCTAGACTATACATTCTGCTGAAACTTTTAAGATATCGGTGGGTAATTACTACTTGAAAATTTTCTAATATTCACCCCAATCGAAGGACCACTGTAATCGGCAATTACGCCTCCCAAGGCCGGACCGCACCCAAAAAATGCTCTTTTACGACCCATCGCAAAACTGCACCCCGTCATGCGTCTCACCTGCTTTTGCGCCACTCCACTTTGGGGTGGCAGTGGAATCCGCCCTGCTGACCTGTTGTCCCGTGCCACGCCCCCTTTCTACAGGACGTAGTTGCGCAGTTTTTCGGTGGGCAGCGTTCGATTGGCGAATGAGACAATAGCCGCCGCCGGCTGGCTGACAGACAGGTCGCAGAAGACATGGCACTGGTTGTCCGTGGAGCTGTGCGACCTCCGGGCCACGAACGCAAAGATGGTCTTCTTGTCGGCCTCGCCCTCGCTGGTCCACATCCGGTTCTCCGGATCGATGGCACAGTGCGAGATGACATCCGCCGTATAGTGCTTGCGGAAGAACTTCTTGCGCGTATTATCCGTGAGCGTGATGCCCTGCGAGGAGACCTTGAAGTGCACCTCCGTGGGCTGCGGCGCTGGTCGCTGGGCGTACATCAGCCGGATGGCCTTGCGAATGGCCTCGTTGCCGGTCAGCGATTCCGTGTCGCAGGAGTAGAGCCACAGCACATTGGTGGCCGCCCCGTGGGCAATCAGATGCTGCTGGGCCGGCGTGGTGGCCCTCACCGGTGGCACTATGTCGCGATCGGGCAGACGGAGCAGGCAGGGCAACGCCAGCTGGCTTATGGAATGCTCGAAGACCAGTGCGGACAGTGAGGTGAACACCGGCTCGTCATCGCAGCCCTTCAGATGCACTCCCCCCTTGGTGGGTTCGATGAGGAAGTGGCGCACCAGCTCCTGGGAGCCGGCAGGCGGCTGGGCCACCCGCACCACCAGGCCATAGGAGTTCTTGTAGGTGGTGGAGTCGCGCACCAGGAAGGTGCCCGGCTGGGCGGAGGCCAGCAGAGCGATGGCATCCTCACGCGTCAGATTGGGCTTGTACCAGAACTTGGCCGAATTCCGGGCAAATCTCACCGAATCGGCAGACACCTCGAGGGGCTGCAGAGCGGCGGCGGGGGGCGGCACACCCCGACGTGGCCCTGTTTGGTAGATGGACTCCGCCGGGGGCAACTGGGTCGGCGACGTCGTCGTCGTTGACAAAGACGAAGAGGATGATGATGCCCCAAAAGGAGTGCGCGGCGTGACCGGAAAGGCGGGCGTTTCTGGCCTGCCGGTGGGACTAGGCGTCATCTGCTGCTGGTATTGGCCATTGGTATTTGGGTTGCTCACTCTCTTCGTGCTGGTGGCATAGATGGGCGAAGCTGGGGCTGGCAACGCCAATGGCAATGGCGAGGTGGACTTGGATGTGGACCTCGTGGATGCGGAGAGATCGCGGCGAGTGCGCGCGAGTGTCTCCTCCATGTGGTTCTGGCCATAAACGGCGCCCAGTTGCTCCAACGGCTCCAACTGCTGGCGTTTGTGGGTCGCCTCCAAGCTGTTAATTGTGTGATAATTGCGTTCCATGGTCCGCCGATTGACCACGCCATCTGGCACATCCTGATCGAGTCGCAGATCCTCGAACTGGATATTTCGCGTGGTGTAGGGAGTGGGTTCAGGCTTGACATCCTCCAGGTTTAGATTGAACTCGAAATCGTAGTTGTATTTGGTTGACTGGCCATTACCGTTTGAGGGACTGTTTCGGTATAGGGTTCCGTTGCCGTTGCTGCCGTTTCCATTCCTCACACCATTGCCATAGGAATCGCTGGGATAGTACTGCCTCTGGGGAGGAGTGGGCGCTGCTCCGCGCCGCTCCCCCGACGACTCCCTCTCCGTGCTCCTATATTCGTTATAGACCTTTTCGCGTCGCTCCCGCAGCAGCTGCTCGAAATTATCTCTCAGCGGCGTCGGCGTCGGCGTTGCGCTGCTCGACCTGTAGTGGTACGTGTTGGCTATGGTATTGGTGTTCGTCGAACTGGTGGGACTAGCACCGTTGCCCAGCGTTTTGCGCACCAGCAAAGGGCTCGTCAGCCGGGTGGGGGGCTTTATCATATCGTTAGTCCCAGTACCCGAACTCCCATTCGTAGTGGTTCCAAAGTCAAAGTCTAGAAAACTATCCACACGCGTCGGTGTTGGAGTTTTGCGCAGCGTCGTATTGGTTTTGGCTATGCCATAGCTAAATGGCAGCGAATTCTCGCGCGCGTGATAAGGTATTCCATTTCCATTGCCATTACCATTTCCATTTCCATTTCCACTTCCACTTATATTCCCATTTCCATTCGCCTGCCCATTGCCATTCACATTATAGTTTTTATAGTAATTATTGTTATTATTGGCCGCGGTGTACTGGTATTGGTACTTGTGGTCGGCGGCAGCAGCGCTTTCTTCGTACGGCGACCGCATCGTATCGCGAATTCCAAAAGACTGATTGAAATTGAACGAATCGAGAAGATACAACTCAACCCGTAGAGTCGCTGGCGTTCCGCGCTCTCTCGCGTGGCAGGGCACTCTCACGGCGTCTGTTGGCCAACAAACAGCAAGTCAACCTCCTCGAGTCTGCTGCTGGTTCGGTATGAGTGGGCACAGTGGGCTGGACACTATTGAAGCCAACTTAAATATATAATTACCATATATCTTTATCTTTATACAATTACGGGGCGTATGATTAATTTTTATTGACAATTACAGGGCGTATGAGTAAGTTTTGTTCTTGTTTTCTGTGAATAAATAGTTGATTGTGCTCAGCTGAGCGGACTCTATAAAATGCATACCATAAGTTTTAACCAACCAACCTGGCGTATGATTAATTTATATTGCCAATTACGGGGCGTATGCGTAATTTGTATTATTGTTTCTAACGTATTTTAATAAATACTTGATTTAAATAGGCGAAACAAGGATTACTTTAATCTTGAATAATAATATTACTACTTAAATGTGCTTTTACATTTTTTAGAGGTTTGGAACACCTTTAAAATATTCATCCTGTGCTTTTCCACCTTTCGATTTTTCTTTGAAATGTCCGAATATTTGGTTCATCGCCATCACATGGTTTGCCAGATATGGATACAACTCGCAAAAAGAAAACGTGCAGAGTTATTGCGAAAGTGAAAGATCCGCATTATAAATAGAATTTACTAAACTATTTAATGACCACACGCCCACTGTGGCTCCACAAATACACGGCCAGAAGGTGTTGGATGCCAAGAGAGATCGCTCCATGAGAGAGCAGAGCGAGAGAACCAAGTGGAGAGTGGGAGCCAGGCCAGAGAGAGGAGAGTCGGTGATGTCATCCCCACTTATTTACGAATACACACGAAGGAGCCCCAGCCAAACGAACGAACTAATCAAAACAAGCAATCGAAGCCTATACAGATTAGGGGCCCCGTAAAGTTCGATCCACGCACGTTGGACGCGAATTTCGATCAAAGAACCCGCATATTGCACTGCAATGGGAGTCCAACGTGTGTAGCGATCTTATTGGAGTTAACTTGATAACAGCTGTGGGGATCTTTCTCTCTTATTGGGTTTTCCATTTTTCAATCTCTCTGCTACTCTCATAACAATCCCCAATTGGGGCCTTTCGACATGGTAATTCGCCGATGGCACCCACTGTAGCAGAAGGCACGTTCTTCCATTGCATTCTTCGCGTTTTCATCAATTAAATTGCCTTCGTTTCTTTAAATGGGCTGCATTTTTGGTCGGGGGAGTAAAACAAACGATCGTTTATGCCATTTAAACGGGATTTTCTTTATCAATCAATTGCGGTCTTATTTCCCAGCAGGTTCAGGTTGCACTTTCCCAATGAACTTTTGCGGCTATTACACATACACAATACAACAAGGGGCCAACAAATGTACACTTGGACAAAATTTGTATTATTTTTTTACAATACTTTTTTTAGAAAAACTATTTTTTTGATTAAATTTGCCGAACTACCGATTCTAATAACCATTCCAAAGATTAGTAAAGAAAATGTAAAAATTTGACCGAATGGGATCGACTTATACAAATGTATTTTAAATTAATAAATGAAAATTATTTTTAGACATTTATTAATTTATTTCAAACTGAGCATCCATTTTTTTCAGTGCTTCCCATAGAGAAGAAGCTGTCGCATCTTTTTTTGATTTCTCAACATTTTCTTGTAGAAAGTGTCGTGGTGGGCAACAGAAACAACTACGAAAATAACAACAATGGCTAAGGCAATATCACTGAAACCTCAACCGCCAAGTGACGTCAGTGGAGCAACAGCGACAGCAAAAGCCACAGCCAAACCAAAACAAATCAAAATCAAATACAGCAAAAATATGCGCTTAAAAAAATAAAGTATGAAAAATAACTGCAAAAATGCTCTGCCAATGCCAGCAGAGGTGATCTTCTTCTTCTTTCGGTTCCAGCAGCCAGTTGTGGGTGGCAAATAAACAAGTTGCTCTCTCACTCTCCCGTGGTCGCCCTCTCTCTTTCGCTCTCCGGTGACCTGTGGACAGGGGCGAAACGAAGGGGGCATAACTGTGGGGGTTCCCCTCAAATTAATTAAATTTTCATGGAGACTTTTACTTAAATAAATAATTTTTAATGTTCTGTTCCCATAATCGAAAAGTACTCCCCCCAAATTTTATTATAAGTCCGCCCCTGCCTGTCGCCGCTCTCTGTCTCCCACACTCGCCCCGTCTCTTTCGTTGGCCTTAGCTTAGTCCCTAGTTGGCAACTCGTTTACCTTTTTTTCGCTTTTTGCTTCGAACATCTGTTGTTGTTAACTCTTTCTGCCGCAAATCTGTTGAAACAAAGTCATGTGGAATTTTGGTAATGCCAATCACAGCCATATGCTGTGACAACCGGAGATTGCAGGCCCATGCGGCCATCTAATGTTTGCCAAAACGCTGGAAAGCCATCGTAGAGTTGGTTAAAGACATTTTGAGCTTGGTTTTCGGGCGTGAAAGATACGCATTCAATTTAATTGATTCAAATGTCCCAATCATGTGATCGTTTCGGTTTCCCCTCGAAAGTTTCCACGTTTAATCAGGTTTCGTGATTGGACTGTCATATGCATCTCAAGGGGATCCTTTCCCAGCCTCTCCATGACTTAAAAAGTTTTGGCTTATTTGTAGAAATTCATTTTCCTGGTCATTACGAAGTCTGTGACCTATTTATTTTTGCTCTCATTATTTTGCTAATGTATAGCTCTAATAATAGAATTAATTAACTTTATACATATGTATACCCCATGAATATTTATAGGTACATATGTAGGTTGGATCACTTCCTGTTAGAAAGACTTGTTGTTTTATGACCTATTTGGAATTGCAAGACTTTGTATTTTCCACTGCACCTGAACAGGTAAGTGAGTTATAAATACAAAATCCGCTTTAATAATAACAATATTTGTGTTCTTAACAGCCCCCAAAAATACAGACAAACACATTTATTTTTTATTGACGTTCATTGAATTTTATTGAAATTTTGCGAGTTAATACAAAACCGAAAATTGAAATTATTGCAATTAACATTAAAAACGCCCGCTCACCGTTACAATGCCACTGAAAAACGTTTGTTTAATACTATGGTTAACTGATTTACAATTACTAGAAGAGTGTCTCGGTTCTTGTCTACAAAAATGTAAAATAATAGTCACATTTAAAATTGCATAAATTCTAGACAAGTGTAGATGTTATAGTATGTCGTACATATTGATTTTTATTTTTTTGTTTTGGAGAAATTCTCATGCATAAAATGTTTTTGTATTTCATAATCATTCTTCTTTTTTCTTATTTTGTTTTGTTGTAATAATTTGGAATTATGCATTATATGTTTTAAATTTTATTGCATTTTATGTAATTAAATATATATAACGTACATCACAGCAAAACTTTATAATTTTTTTGTTTGTGTTTTTTTTGTTTTTTTTCGTTTTGTTACTATAAATATATTTTTATGATAAGCTTTTGATTTTTGTTAATTGTCTGGAAAATAAAAAACCCGAAGATAGTTGGAAAAAAACTATTCGATGGAAACACCTAGTATTAGTGCGTTAGTTCAGGATAGACGGAGAGATATAGAACGAACTGAATAGCGTAAAAGTATCGAAACCGGATTAAAAGAAAAAATCGAGTAAAGTTTCTTTTCTGCTTAGTTTGGTTGATTGAATTTTTTACATATACTCGTAAGTAATTATGTCAGTGCACGTATAAAAGGTATTCAATTCATGTATATAATATATTCTATATATAGTTATTTGCTTTTATCATAACGTTCTGTTATTGTGACAAAAAATAAACTTTATTTGGGTTTTCGTTTATCATTCAGTTGATGATCCTACTAATAAAATTCTAGAAAAGCACAACACCTTTACAATGGTCTTTTGGAAATACCATTCATATAGATTAAAAACAAGAAAGAACGCTCTAATCGAGAATTCCGATTAGGTGATACCCGGTAGTCACTGTCCTGTTCAAAAGTAAGTTGCATACCTTAAGGCGTTTGCTTGGTTGGCATTAAACATATCCAAAGCTTTCTAAAAAGTGGTCAGATTTGGAAATTTGATTGGAGCCAAGTAACATTTATCTAACATCAAAAGTGTATATGAATTCTTGCGATATTAGACGGCAAAAGGGAGCTTACTTAATGCTAATTTGAGAGTATCAAAAGACTACAAGACAAAGAGAAGTATAAGCTTTTCAAACGGACGAACGGACATAGCTACATACGTATCTAAATTGGACTGTTTCTCGTCGTCAAGAATATTTATCTTTCTTTATCCTTGAACTCTACGAATACCGGATATAATAAATACACACACGTTTTACACATATACTAGGTATCAAGATTTCAGTAATGCATAGCTTTATTAAGGATTTGAGAACGGGGGAGCTGGGACAGAGGGACTCTGGGTAGGAAAAGTGCTGCAAACTCTCGCTATAAGCAACGGATGACCCAATAGATACGGCTTATGGCCTTCCCGAAGAGGCTAAACTAATGTTATGTATATCCATTCTCACAAAAAATCAATGCTATCCATAGTATATATATGCTATAAAAAGTTGTTGAGTTAGTTTCAATGGTTTTAATACGAATGGAGGGCAGGAATCATTTCAATTTACTTGTTCTTCTCATTTCTCGTTTGGTTTAGTTCCACGTTAATTGGTTATGTGTATACCGATCGATAGATAGATATAGATAATTATTGTATGGTACTCGTACTTGTACATGTATATTGGTAAAAATTGTTAGCTGTCGTTCTCCGGCTTTAAAGGCTAGTGCACGTAGTTCGCTTGAATCGCTTATATCAGAAGGAAACTCTCTATATATCTGGGTGTGTGTATATATGATACTCGTAATACTCGCATCTGATGCAATTTTAATAGACAAGTCACATTGAAGGAGGTTAAGGTGTGTATGTATGTTAATGCTTGTGTTTAGAGCTACAGACGTTACAGTTTAAAAGGCAAAAATACTACGGAAGTGGATGGACTGGTCGTTGGGCGGCAGAGGTCACCACCCACGCACGCTGGCCCTGGAAAAGTCTGGTTACGATATTACGATATTTGTGTTCTCATAGCGATTGCAATATGTTTAATTACGCACACGTCTACTACAAATACATTAATAAGCCCACCAATATACATATGTTTCTATGCCTGTATGCTAAATTCTTATATGGTTGCTTTCCCTCCTGTTAGTGAGTGTGGGTGTGTGTGTATATATGCATCTATATATATAGTATATTTGCTGAAACGCTTATCCTCCTCCGCTCATCTGGTTTAGTCGATTTCAAAGATTGCTTATATGTTTCAAGGTTAGTTGCTTCCGTTTATAGTTACTAATTTTCAAACAGTAGAAACGAAAAAAATATATATACGATCTATTTTCCTTTTAAAGATATCATTTTCTTTGTTTTTACGTTTTTTTTTCTTTGCTAGTGCAAGAAGAAGAACTTCTTCAGTGGGTTCAGTTCGTACAATTAGTATAAAATGCAATGCACTATATTTATGCTGGTTTTCATGTATGTCGTATAAGGATAAATATAGTACGTTGTTAAAAAAAACTAAAAGTAATGGTAGTAAATACAAAGTACGTAGAGGAAGCAGTAAATATGCAAGCCTAACTCAAAAGCAGAAAACACAAATCCAAGTTACAAATATTCCGCCTTGCTTAAATATGTATTCTTTATAATATAGTTATATTCATAGGTATGCGTGTGGACAGCAACAATTTTAGATAAACCATTTTGATTTGGCAACGGTACCTCAAAGACCTACAACGTCCGACTTGGGGATTAATAATTCCTGAATGCCCCAAGTTATCAGAACTTTGACTGACCGATGCCAAGCATTCGAATACACTAATGTTTGTTCGTATATAGTTGTTTTAATGGATCATAGGATGTCCTCGAGTGTGAAAGGCAAAGAAAATCTATTATGAATTTTGTGCAAATCTTGGCTTATATACAGACACTTGTTTTACGGCTTTATCGTTCTCTATACACACAAATATATATATTTATATATACGCTGTTTAACTATAGTTGAATTCTTGGTGGTATGCATATATGGGTTACTCCTAATTACGGTTACCATTACTCACATACAAACTAATGTCTAGGACAAGCTATTGAAGAGGCGTCAAGTTGCGCGAGGGCGTGGCCGAGGGGCGGAGCGGAAGGGTTTTTGAAATGTTTGGCCTTGTGGGCGGGGGGTTTACAGCTGAGGAGGAAGCGTCGACGGTTTGGCAGTTGGATTCGTTGCGCGTTACATCAAGTGATGGCGGTGGTGGGTGGCTTCCCCGCCCCAGACCAACACTCCACCCCGCCTCGACCACTCATCGCCCGGAAAAGCCAAAGCTGGAGGTGTGTGGTGGAATACGATTACGACGGCTCTAAGCCGCTTGGCTCTGCTGCGGATTGGCGGTGGCTGCCGCTGCCGCGGAAGTTCCCGCCACTCCGGCATTTCCGCCGGAAGTGGTGCTCAAGGCGGCCGCTGCTCCGGATGCCGCCTGTGCCTGTTGCTGCTGATCGGCTCCATCGAAGTAGTCGGATGCGTTGCCCCGGCAAATCGGGCAGGTGCGATTCGACTGGTGAACGAATAGAGTGCGAGTATATTAATCACTGAATTTTTGTATGTATATTTGTGGTACTTACCCGCAGCCATTTGTCCACACACTTGGCATGGAATTCGTGGGAGCAAGGCAGGACGCGCAGGAGCTGGCGCAGTTCAAAGTCACACATGCACACCACACAGGATGATTGATCGCCTGGGGAAAAGTGGATTGGTTAAGTAAGTAAATACTTGGCAAGTGAACTAAATAATGTTGGATTCAGCAGGACTGTGACTTTCATTTATTTATTTTGTATCAATATTCTTAAAAACTTCTTTAAAGTAAATCATTTTTCAATTTTATTTAAACTGAACAGAACAAAATAAATGAAATATATAGCATACTTTTTCGGGCATAGTTTAAAGATTGTTACGTATACGCAATGTAGCCCGAGCTACATATTTAAGTTAACTAGATAAAATTAACATAATTTGAATGAAAGATAATGTCAGTTACAATCAAAAACATTTTGGAAAAAAAGCTACATATTTAAGTTAACTAGATAAAATTAACATAATTTAAATGGAAGATAAAGACAATAATCAAAAACATTTTGGAAAAAAAGTTGGAAAGCTTTAAGTTCGAAATTAAAATCTTTTAATCTTTTTCCCACTCACCATTGTGCACCTCCGGATTGAACTTGTAGCTGGGCAGCTGATCGATCTCATTGCGGGTGAGTCCCCTTGGCTTGGCCTCTCCTAAACGCTCGGCCAGGCTGAGCAGCGCCTCGTAGTTCTCCGTCTCGTTGGTGTCGCCGGAGCTCAGATCATGTTGGTTGTACGGCGACAGGGGGAACATGGCCCTGCCACAAGAGGAAAAGAAGTCAAGGATGGCCAAGTAGCAACGCTATCAACTGAACTCACAGGAAGTTAAGCAAGAAGCCGGGGTTGATGATGCCCGAGGTGGCCTGGATCTGCACCGGAGCTTGGTGGGCGGCGAGCGACTGGGGCGGCAGGACGTGGCGATGGCCGTGGTTCGCCGGCCAGAAGCGCGGTATGCGGCGGTGGGGCGGGAATGTGCGGCGGTCCGACGAGATGATGATCTGCTGCGGCCCGGCGGACATCTGGGCGCTGGCTTGGGCGGCGACGGCCGCTGCTGCTGCCGCCGTGGAATGTAGATGGTGGGTAGCGGCCGCAGCCGCTGCTCCGCTCAACGGGGTGATGTGGATGCCCGGCGGCAGCTGATGGGCATGCGGATGGGCATGTGGATGGGCGTGCGGATGGCCGTGGGCACCGGCTGCATCAATGGGTCCCAGATTGGCCGTCGCAATGGCCACCACATCCCGTTGCTGCTGCTGGGCAGACAGCGTGGCCTGGGCAATCATTTGCTGGGCTGAAAGCGATGACCCGTAATCTTGCAAACCTTTGATGGAAATTATATCTAAAAAAAATACTCACCCTGAATAAGCGGCTGATGTTGTTGCTGGAGCGGCGGCGCAGCCAATCCTGGAGGCGGGGCGGCGGGGAAGGGCTGCGTGTAGACGCCGTGCAGGTGACACGGGGCCAACCTGGCCTGCGCCGGTATCGGATACGTGCAGAAGGAGGCCCAGAAGGGCTCAGAGGGACGCAGCTGCAGGCTCACCGGCACCTGGTTCAGATTGAGGTCCACCATCAGGGAGGTGGGTTGCGGCGGTGCCGGCGGATAGCCCACCGTTTGCTGGTGACTCGGTGGCTGCGGCGGCGCCTGCACCTGCTGCAAAATGGGTCCCACCGAGCTGCTAGAGGTTGCTCCACCGGCGCTTCCTCCACTGCCGCCCAAATCCCAAGGGGAACGCTGGACATGCGGCGGTGGCACCTGCTGTTGGGGGACGTAGTGGGGCTGGGGTTGATGGTGGTGCATCGGGTGGTAGTTGGAAGGCGGCTGCTGCTGCTGCTGTTGCTGGGGATGGTGCACCTGCTGGCCGTACTGCTGTTGCTGCTGCGTAGAGGTGGCCACATCGCGCAATCGCGGACGTCTAAGCGGCGGACTTCCCTGCTGCATCTGTAAAGGATTCCCCGTGAATTAGAAATTACATACTTTTTTTTCTTGTTTGAAATTTTTCACTTGGATTATCAGGCCAGCCGGTCGCAGGAAGGAACGAAAGAAAGAGGGACATGTGGTCTAGAGATGGATAAGGACCGTATATTTCCGGAAACGACCATTTTCAGCATTTTTTAATCACGGTCTATTTCATTGGCATTATTCTAGTATTTTTGTAGTCCTTTAATCTAACTGAAATTGCCCAAAACTGCAAGATCGCGAGATCAGACTAGAAGTGCTTTCAATCAATTAGCAATTAGTTAAAACAGTAGCTAACACTTTTCCTTTTTGTCAGGACTTTGGAAATTTGTTAGTTCTAATAATATCATGTCATTTGGTATTTTTTTGGTATTTCTGGTTTCACGACTTTTTGTGACGTTTGTGAGCATGCGCGCCCATAGACAAAATATATAGGGTATTCCGTATGTTACATTTTCAACAACTCCGTAACTCAACAGTTTATGAAATCCCCAAATACGCCAACTATGTCATTCTGACAGGAAAAAAAGGTCCATGCCCATCTCTAATATAGATTCTAGACACTTCTAAAAACTCACGTGAGCCATTAAACAGCGGTGCTGGGGCTGCGGTCCGTTCTGTGGCCTTCCGGAGATGCGGCGACGCTTTCGCGACGGACTGTCCGAGTTAAGGCCGCCGGGTCCTGGTCCGTTGTTCAGCGACAGCGAGGAACCCGACAAGCCAGATCCCGAGGGCAGTTCACCCATTAGCCCCGGCCCACCGGAGGATGTGGAGGCACCGTTGTTGTTTCCATAGGCCATGTGCTGGTAGTGCGATCCATTGCGTCCGTAGCCTCCTCCGCTACCGCCTCCGTTCCGCATAAAGTTGTACGAAGAGCCCTCAGCTCTATCCCGATGGTCTGGTCCGCCCTGATCAGAGTTTCCAAAGTGCTGCAGGTGGGTAGATGATTAATGACAGTGTTTATAGAACAAACATATTTTTAAATGATGTCTTTAGAATGCTTTTGGAAAAGGATTGCCTACTTTCTAGCAAAGGGTTTGTGTTTGTTGACCAAAATGTTTGTTCGATCAATATGAACTTTGGAATATGATTGGAAAACTAATAAACAAAGGTCAAAATTAATTTCACCTAAATATCATAGTTATTTCGCTTACATTATTCAAGTTCCTATCGTTGTAGTTGCGCTGGTGGTGTCCGGAGTTCATGAGGCCGTTCATCGATGAGGAGGCGTTGTTCAGATGATCGGACATGTAGCGGCGTCCATTGTGGCCGTGTCCGTTGCCGTTGCCATTGCCGGAGTAGTCCCGCGATAGGGCCGGACATAGGCCACGTCGGTAGTTGATGTAATCGGGAGGTCCGTTGGCATTACCATTACCATTACCGATTCCATTCCCGAGACCCCGGTTGTTGCCGTTGTTGTTGTTGTAGCCACGCTGGTGGTTGTGGCCAAGATTGGGCGAGTTTCCGTTTCCGTTCCCGGTCCCCTGTCCCTGGCTGTGGCTATTGATGGGTGCGGATGCGTTATTAATTTGATGTTGTTGTTGTGGTTGTTGGGGCAGCATCGACGAAGCAGACGCAGACGAAGACCCATAAGGAATTATATCGGTACAAGAATTTACATTCACAACATCAGTAGGATTACTATTTGTTGTTGGATTGGTTGAATTGAAAGTTGTTGCGTTGGTTGAATTTGAATTCGTTCGTGTTAGCGGGAGGGATTGGCGATTAGTCTGTTGCTGTGGGTTATGCAATGGATGGTACTGGTGTTGCGGATGGTACTGGTACTGGTACTGATGTGGGTTGGGATGATGGTTCTGATTTTGGTTCTGGTTCTGGTTCTGACCAATTGGCGGTGGGTTATAATGATTCTGATCGCTGGAGCTGCGAGAATTGGAACTGGAATTGGAATGGGATCTGGCGTTGAAGGACACTACGCGCTGGGGGGCGGGAGGCGTGACAGGTGCTAGTGTTAGGCACAAACGGGCGGGATTCAGTCTCACCAGGGAAACGGACATGGATCCATAGGTGTGGCTCTGCGATCCAGAGCCACTGCTTCCCGGACACATCTCATAGTAAGTGGGGTAGGAATTATGCTGGTTCGGATTGGCATGGGCCGGGGTATGGGGACTACTACCATAAGGCTGCTGAGGAGGACGCTGACTACTCGGATTGCTAGTGTTGCTGTTAGTATGCCCATTGCCGTGTGGGGAGTTGTGGGAATGCGTGGTGGGTGGGTAACTGTGGCGGTAACTGTTATACTGCTGTGGTGGACTCGAATGCGGGTGTTGTTGGTAATGGGGGGTGTGCACTTGGGGGTGGTGGTGACTTTGGTGTACTGGGGGGGAATGCGAATGGGGGTGATTAGTGTGACTGTGGCTCTGAGTGTGACCATTGTTGTTGCTGTTGTTGTGATGATGATGCGCTTTGCTATTGTTATAAATACAAGTTCCGCTAGAATTACTTGTTTGTACATCGCTGGATTTTCGATTTTGAGGATTGCAGTTGCAGTTTGTTTTAGATAATATGTAATACATATATACGTATATATAGAGAGTATAATATTCGGTTGTACGAGATACAGTTGAAAATTGTTCAATCAAATCAATGCAGTAGCAGTGTGTGGTAGTATTAAACACAACCCATATATAGTTATTGTATGCATATTACATGTACAGGTAGTAGGTAGTAGTAGTAGTAGTGGTGTATATATGCAGAGTGGTAGCCACACACATACGTTATTTATATAGTTTTTTTTTTATTTTGCAGTAGTTTTCGGTTTTTTTTTTTGGTTTTATATGAAGAAGAAAGAAAAACGAAAAAGATAAAAATAATATATATGTAAATGGCAAAATGCAATAATTAGATATTAGTTTAATATAGATATATATATATAATATCGATATGTACACACATTTAGTATAAAACAAATACGTACGTACTAATTAGTTTCACATCGTTTGCAGATTTTTCTATTTCCTTTTTTTTAGATCTGCTCTTTTGTTTTGAATGCATTTTAGGTGGAAATTTGGTTAGTTTGCCATTTTATTTATTTATTTGTTGCTCGCTTTGATTTTATGCACACTACGCTTACCAAAAATCGAAATGGAAACGGAAATCAAAACAACGAAACGCCAATCGCACACTGGTCTTCACACTATTCAAATTTAACGTAACGGCAAAAAGGCAACTGTAACGTAATAGGCCGTTCTCACTAGCTAAACACGAGAGAAATACATTGGATACGTATATATATATTTGAGAGAGATAGAGAGAGTGCTGGTCATGCTCCAAAACTATACAAAAGAGAACGTAAACCGAAAACGTAAATAAACTGGTACAAAATCAACTCGTACGTAAGTTACGGTAAGCTTGAGCTTTTCTTCAGCCTGTGAAAAAGCTTTTACGAATTACACGTTTTTTTTTAGCGGGGTGAGAACGGAAACGGAAATGGAACAGAACGGATCCAAAAGATCGTGATCGAGCTGGGCACACACCATATAGAAGTTATTATGCCTAAGTATAGTTACTTATGTACACGCACAGCAACAGAGTGGGGGAGAGGGGCGTGTCTAAGCGCCGAACGTCTTAATTAATCGTAACGTAAGCCGGTGTCAGCGTAACGTAGTAGGTAGTATGCAACTCTTACGGACTAGATGCAAAAGCTGCGATTGCAACTGGCTAGAAATCAAAGAACAACTATTTATGTACGTACAGGTGTGCTCAAAATAATATCTGTATCCTTAAATTAATTTAATTTTTAAATAGTAAAACCTTTCAAAATTGTGATCGATAATATTCATATTTCATGAAATTAGTGTACATTTAGGTAATGACCAATTATAATTGCAGTTAAGTAGTATTTGGATATGTTAACTATTTTAATGACAGTTTGATTATTTTACTTTAAAATAAATCTATTGCTTTTCGAGTAATTTTCTTTGACTCACTACTATTATTTTGAACACAGCTGTATATTAGGTAGACGACAAATCAAAGAAGAGTACTTGATAAACAGAGTGTGACAATGACCATACAATGCTGTACTTGTTGTTATTGTTATTAGTGGCTCGCTTAAAGTTACACACACACACAAACAGTCAGTAGTAGAAGAGAATAGAAAGAGAGAGAGCGAGGAGTAAATCAAAAGGAGAAGGATATGCTCGAGCTATTTAAAAAGAGTTGATTTAACTGTTATATTTCGGTAATTTGTCGGTTTTCATTGTTTAATTGAATTATCTTTTTGGTTTTTGGTTGGTTTTGGAATTTCTATGAGGTTGGTTTGTCAAACATTCTAAGCCGCAGTGTGCAAAATGCAAATAAATAAGTAAAACATTAAGCTGAGTTTGTTGATCATTTGCAAAACTCGACTCGGTTCGCCTCGACCTACGCAAAGTTAAGCAAAATACATCAATCAACAGTCGTCAATATACTTAGCTATCAATCAAGAAACTCAACTAAAATGCATCATTCATAAAATGTCGAAATCGAAAAAAATTACAACTAGTTACGGTACGGTTTGGATAAAGAGGAAATTTTGTAACTAAATTCATACTTGGCTTGCACTTTTCACGGTTGCATTTCATATATTTATCATCGCATTTATGTTTGTTCTTGGTTTTGGCTTTTGATTTAGTATAAATTTAACGTATAGCGTAAAACGTGAAGCGACACTATGCGCAAAACGAAAAAAAGGTAATCAAAATAATAGAAAACGGTAGATCAAATGAAAATATTGTGGGTTGGGTTAGGTCTTGAAATCGGGAGCATGTGGAACCCTATCTGAACTTTTTTTTAGATAAAGTGTAGCTTCCTAAAAGTTTGGGGATCAATAAAACTTTAATAAAACTTAGGGTTTTAAGACAACTCTTTTAAAATTTTTTGCAGTATTGGACTTGCGAATAAATCTATTCAATTTTTTTAAGTTTTCAATTGTATAACTTTTACAAGACTAGATAATTCTGAATTTGTTTTTTACTTCTAAAGAAATCTATTCAACTTTTTTAAGTTACAAAATTAAATTGAATAACGTTTAGTAGACCATTTTTTAAAAACTAGATAGTTTTGAATTTTGTTATATTCAAGTTGTTAAAATTTGAATCTCTATTTTGAATTTAGATAGTAATCCCCAGTTTCGATGCTGCATGAAAAGCACTTAACTAACCATCTCACTTTATAATTGTTAATTGCTTACAATCGTCGTTGTCGATGACCCGTAGTCGATGCTTGTCCGTGACCAATCAATTAGAATTCACTTAAGTCTACGGCTGATTCCTGCTCTAAAGAGTCTAAAAGCCCATAAAGGAAAAGTAGTAATTGCCAACTATCCACATAATACAACGACAGTGGAAGAGAGAAGGAGGATGGCGATTAAGGTAGGTCCTTGGGGATGTTCTTGATGGGCCAGAGAGAGGCAGAGAGAGGGGGTTAGGAGAGAGATAGCATGCTGGTAAGTACTTAAGTCCGTTAGGCGCGATTTACTCAAAATGAAGAAGAAGCGTTTGGGACAAAGAAACGACTACGAAACGAAAGAGAAATTGCTACGTAATAAGTTTGGTTCGCCATTTTCAAGTGCTCTTCATGCATTTTCTTAGGGAACTGTTTGATTGGTCTTAAGTTTATGAAACATTGAACGTTCTTTAAGTTGTTACAATGGAAATCAAGAGTTTCTGATTCGATTAATACGGTATCTTCTACGGAACTTCACACTGCTCAAATTTCGGGTATGGTAATAGAAGCGGTTAGAAAATGTACATACGATAAAACATTAAGTAAATCAAAACTGACGTCTGATTGGATAGTATAATGTGGGTGTATGTAGGTTTGTATGTAGTATTTAATGTCAATGCTGGGATAGTTACAATGGTAATTAGTATATTTGGTATGGTTACTGAGTGGTATGGTTAAAGGGTGCCAATTTCGACGAGGAACAAAACACAAAATGTACAGTACGCAAGAGAACGCAAGAGAGTTACAAATGATCGAGAAGTATAAACGGTATAACACTATATCCATTATGTGTCGCCATCAAGTTGGCGATGCAAGCTTTTTTTATGTTTAGTGCTTCGAAAATTCAACGGTTAGGACCAATTAAAATGTTTTGGTTGCACTACTGAACGCGACATTAATTACAAAATTCTCCCTTTAGCCTAAAAGCGATTTTCGGGTTTTTTCAGTTCAGGTGTAATAGAGATAGAGATAGAAAGTAGATAAACTGTTCTAGTCGTGGGGGAAGTTACAAGGATATGTCTTGTTAATCATGGATGGATTTTTTGGGGGATTTAGGGAGCGGTTCGGATTAGATCGGGGGGTACGTTTCAAATTCGCTTTTCTTTTCAATGTCACTTAAGGCTAACATAAGACTCGATCTCAAAAGATCTCGAGAGAGTAGGTGGAAATGGTTCTAAAACGCAAGCGGCTCTCGGCTCTTACCAATTTGGGTTTGCATCTTTGTTATTGACATTGTTGTTGTTATTGTTGTTGTTGATGTTGCCACCGTTGTTATTGCTGTTGCCGCCGTTCAAATTGACGTTGCACCAGGGACTGTGTCCAGGTAAAAGGCTGTTGTTGTTGTTGCTGGACCGCTGCTGTCCCTGCTGTTGTTGCTGCTGCTGCTGGACGTGGGCGTGCGGATGTGGGTGTGGCGAGTAGAGCATACGTCCGCCCAATCCGCCCCCTCCGCCGCGATGCGAGCGGACCGATGAGGAGTTGCGGGAAAAGGGTCGCCGGCTGCTGCCCCCATGATTGTTGTTGTTGTTGTTGCCGTTGCCCAAGTTGCCACTGCTGGCATTCGAGTTGAGCATGCTGCTGCTGCTGCTGCCGTTGCTGTTGCAGTTGCAGTGGCTGGTGTTTGTTGCTGCTGCTTCTGATGTTGCTATTCGACTGTCGACTGGGCGAGTGCTTTCTTTGAGCTATTCTTTTATTCACACAGCTGCGGGGCGGGAGTAAAAACGAGACGATTTGCTTATAAAGTGACCACTTGTACACTTAACTAGGCAGCCCCGTTCCGTTTGCAATCTGAATATATTCGGCACAATCCGAAACGGATCTAAGTTTTAACATTTTTGAAAAAAATACAAGAGTTCACCACTAAAAAAAAAAGTGAATCCCCTTTTCATGACTCAAAATAAGGAGTAACCAATTAATATAAATGTTACTCTCGCGAATTCTTGAGGGAAAATGAAATCAGATAAGATCTTTAAGAGCCATTTTATGTTTTTCGTTACCAAAAGAGTATTATCACAGAACACTATGGTTTTAGATTATTTTCAAAAATGAAAATTCCGTTCAATTTCGATGCCACCAACTCAGATTATAATCGAAAACGGAAAAAGGTTCGTATGCTCTAGATGTTTATGGTTTTTGATTTGTGGTATTTCTTATTACATTTTTGTGTTTGTTTTTTGTTTTATTATTTATTTAGGAAGAAGTATTCTAAGCCGGACCCGCGCTCCAGAACAGAAAGCAAACAACCAACAAGCCAACATGCTCAATAACAAAACATTTATGGTTTCTCTAGTTAGCAAAATACTTACTTAGGCAAGGATAATAAAATATTTATATATGTGTATATATTGATATGTATATATACGTGTGGGTGTGTTTATGTGTGGATATATGTAAATATTTGTTGTAATCGTAATAAATAAAACAGCAACAATTTTTCAGTTTGTTTTAACAGTGTAGCTTTAATAGGTTGTCAATTATATGGAACTGAGATGAGATACGTGCGTGGTTAGTCTTTCAACTATAGGTATAAGTACGATATAAATGTATATAAATTCATGTATTGGGGGTATGTGGAAAAGCTGCCGATACAGATACGGATACGATATATATATAAATATGTATATAAAGTTAACAGTTACGGGTACATAGGTAGTATATATGTATGTGTATATGTGAGCTAACTCCGCCGACTCCGTCCGCCAATGATAAGTGGTAAAGATAAATTTTACACTTCCAGCGTTTCCAGTTTTGAGTTGTTAAACACGATAACCCATCGTTAAGCCGCCCCTCTCATATATACATACATATTTATCTCTAGATGTGTGTGTTTTACATGAATGTGTCAACTGAACAAAAACAATATTAGTGGTTCTGTTTTCTTGGGTTTGGGTTTCGGTTTTGGGTAGGATGGATGTGGATGGATCGAGGTTGGGGCGGATGACTGATTACAAAACTTATCACTTATCGCCCGGCGGGCAGTTAGTACAATCGAAAGATTCCAGATCAAGAGAGCGACAGATAAAGAGGGTTACACTTAACGTACATGGGCCGTGTTGTGGGTGTGTGTGCTCTATAAGTAGGTAATATAAATACTAGGCGTAAAGTAGAAAACGAACATGTGCAAAGTAAAACAAACAGTGTGACAAAGTCGTGTTGTCGTATAGTATATAGCATAAATGGATGGGTTAGATCGATCGTATTGGAACCATTAGAAGAACAAAGGACAGATACAAATAATTACAAGATGGCTAATCGTACTTTGTACTTTCTTTTCAGATTTCAGTCTTCGATAGTATGTTTAACAGGTTTACAAAAAAACAAAGCTTACAAACTAAAGCCGTTTAATTTGCCAGTTGCGGTAGACCGTTGATAGGTTGATTTGTTGATTGGTTCAGGTTGGCTGATAGGTTGGTTTGGTTGGTTTCGTAGGCAGTTCGAGGATTAAACGTTTAAAAGTTGAGCTGAGCTGAGCTGAGATTCAGGTGTGTGCAGATTGCAGATTGCATTTTGCAGTTTGCAGATTACATTTGCATTTGCGCTTGCGGTAGTTGGTCAGTGAGATTGAGATACAGATACGGATACAGCCAGATACAAAAGTGTCAACGGCACGGCACGGCACGGCAACGCAAAGGGCAGATGGCGGTCTTAAGTGGTACATACGGGCATGTATTTAGTATACACTTTCGGTTTAGTTGCTTTCGGTATCAGTATCGCTATTTGTTGGTTTTTATTTTGATTTTTACATGTGGCTATATACGAGAGTCAATAGGGAAAACACTTGATGATCGGTATTCGTTTGAGAGACGTGTGTGTTAAAGAAGCGGGGCACGTCTGGCCGCGGCCGTTAACAATGCAAATTTACCACCAAAACCAGCAATAAAATATTGTATGTATGCTAAAACAAAGAAAATAAAAGTAAAAGAAAACATTGCTATTACATTCAGTTGAGAAACTAATTACTTGGGTTGTTTTAGTTTGGTTAGCAATAAATGTATGTATATGTGGGATAATATTGAAATATAGGTCTATTTATATAAAGCCCAGTTTTAATAGCGGCCAATGAGTATTAATGCCAATGTAATGCAAATTAGACGTAAAAAATAGGCAGGCAGTACAATATACAAATGCTTGACTATCATAACGATAATGGTTGTAATTGTGGTTCAATATACAGTTGCAGTTAAAATAATAGTGCTGAAAACTATCTTTTGGCTTGTAGTCTCTGCGAAATGTTGGTTACTTGTAATTGTTGAAGTGGAGAGAAAGGTTGTCTAAGAATAAAGTTAGTGTCACTTAGGAAAGGCATTTTAGTAAACCATTTTTGAAAATTCAAGAATATAAGTTGATAAAAGTAACTAAATGGTTTCAAAAATAAGAACATATTGCAAAAAAAATTAACTTTGTTATTGACTTCCCAAAGATGCTTGTTAAGGTCTGTAGAAGTATGCTACGATTTATTTCGAACACCTTCTCTCATCAGTAGCATACATTTCTACGCCTTTAAAAGTGGTTTCAAACCTCCAGAGATTTGAATTGGTTTTGTCACAGCACAAACACCCTCTGTGATTAGGGTATTTGTGGTAAATGTTATTATACAGATAAGATAAGTGCATTTCTAAACATAGATTAAGAGGCTAAATGGGGCGATAACATATCTATAAATGAGGCCTCTTAGGGCTCCCCTTCAACATGGTACAAAAAAGACTACATTTCCGTAATTTAGCTATTATTTTGACCACAACTGTGTGTGTATTGCTCAGGGAGGCGCTCCAAACGGAAAACTCCGATCGAAAGGCTATATAGCAACGGCTACTATTCATACTTGGGGCAGGGTCGCTGCTCGAGTTGGGGTCACACTTCGCCCTCCCAAAATTAAAACAATAAATTATAAAAAATATACGCATATACACACAAGCAAGCAGACATCAAAATATACGCTTTTCCCATGGAGTCCGGACCCCAACAGACACACACTCACGTACATCCGTGCACAAAGAAACCAAGAGAGAGCCGAGAGCGCCACTGAGAGGCGAGAGAGGACCCACCTAGCTGTGCGAGTGTGTGTGTGGGTGCCCCTCTTGTTGTTGCTATTGCGTAGTCATGGCAGTCAACTTCATCGAATGCTCTTTTTCTTTTCCTTTCGTTTCGTTTTCTTTACACACATTGATTATATGAATATGTGAATATGTATACTAACGAAACGATTGTTGGCTGGCTGCTTTTTGGCAATTACGCTGCTCTTTGGCGTTTCAAAACACGATGATGGGGCTAAAAATTGAGCTTTTGTGGTGTAGACACAGACACAGGTTAATTTGCATTGGCTGCCCCAACATAACTGCACTTTACACTCGCACACGCACACTGAGACGGGGTTTATGCATTCTACTGGGGGCGGGGTACTGAATTATATGCGGAGTAATCGGAATATTAGAATAATAATACTACACACCAGACGCGGAGCTCCCGACTCGACGGCAGACAAAGACGCAGTGTGGTAAAATGTACATGTACCCAGACCAGACGGGGCGCTCCTCTCTCTCGCTCTCTTTTTCCGCTGCGAGTGTAGATATATGGATGGAAAATCGAAACTCTGTGGCTGCTGACCCCCCGCCCCCCACTAGCTGTCTCGCTCCCCCGCACGGACAAAATCAACACAAGTTCACACACATACAGGCTCACGGACGGGAACTCACAATGACAACCACTTCGTCACCAGCAGATAAAAAGTGCTGGCCTTAAAAACAATTGCGTTTTATGTAATTCCACTACATACGTACGTTACGAAAACAAGCACTATTCATGTTACACGGTGGATAGAAGTACTTGGTATCGAGTACGGATTGCTAAGCAGGAAAAGTATCTTTAGTTTTTAGGCTTTATGGGAGTTTACCTTGGAATCGAGCTGACAAAAGTGTGGCCGCGGCGAGACTGATCGAAATTACCAGGGGTTTTTGTATGACGGCGAGAAATGTACTAAATATTCCTGAAACAAGTGTGTTTTGAAAATTTTAAAAAGAATTTGAATTTAACTTTCTTTTATATTTCTATTTATTTTAACAAAATTTACAACACTTAATTTTTTAAATAAAAGTTTTTAATTTTGCAGTTATTAATATTTATTAGTGCATTTTCCGCAGCTCTGTGGCATTTTATCACGCTCAGGTTACGGTCACACCAATCTTCACCGAAAACGCTACCCGGAATTAACTCCTGTTAAAGAAAAAACGGGATTTATTAATAAAAACTTATAAGCTAGCTCTTTAAAGAGTCGGCTAACGCATAAAACTAATCGTCAACTAAATAGGCAATACGAAAATGTAAGTACTTGCGCGCATTTTACCCCCTGAACGGCTGAAACATTTTGCTTTTCTCGCCCCAAAAACAGGGCGCGTGCCCAGAGTCCCGCCGGCGAGGGTGAGAAGGAAAAGGACAACAAGGAGAAGGACACCAAAGAGAAGGACGGCAAGGCGGTGGCCAGCAGCTCCTCGCGCAGGGACCGCGAACGCAAACGCCGCGGATCGGCGTCCTCCAGCAGCGATTCCCGAAGCAGGTAAAGCAGCCGGCAAAGGTGTTCCCCACATCTGGTCCACATCTGTCACTTTGAATAAGGGTTACTTTTGAAAATGCCTCCTATTTCGTATGGGAAAATGTCCTTACGATGTCCTGGAAGATAGAAAATCTTCGGAAAGTCGTATTGCCTTCATTTCACCAGCATACATTCAGCGTCATATCTCTGCGTACAGGGCAAAATAATTTTAATTTGTCACTTTGACAGGAAAGACTAGACGTGATATAAAAAACTTATGCTTTTTGTTACGGATAGTCCCACCAATTACCTTCATAATCTATATTTTACAAAATTTGTATCTTCATTGGTACCCTTATAATTCGTACTTCCCCAAAACCGTTTAAAATAACATGCTTTCAAAAGTTGGCGTACAGCTATTGATAGTTGTATAAGTATATAAAAATATCATAATGCTTCTCAATCCGATCATTTCATTCATATACATAATGAAATTTAAGAAAACTGCCTTTAAACCCCCTTCATCTACTTTCCAAAACGAAAAACTACATAAAATGTGGGCTCTTTCAGCTCATCGGACAGCAGCTCTTCCCGCAGCAGTTCCGGATCCTCTCGCTCCAGCTCGAGCAGCTCCAGCGACTCCTCGAGCTCGTCGTCGTCCTCGTCCAGCGACTCGGATCGCAGCGAGAAGAACAGGCGACGTGGCGGCGGGGCGGCCGGCAAGGATAAGGACAAGGAGAAGGAGAAGGCCAGCGCTCGCTCCCGTTCTCGCACCCGTTCGCCCAGGCGCGTCTCCAAATCCCCCCGGCCGGGCAGCAAGTCGCGCAAGGAGCCGGAGCGGGATCGCGAGCGGCGCAGTCGGTCCCGGGATCGTGCCCGTCGTGCCGGATCCAACGATAGGCCCGCCGTCGAAAGCAATAATGTGAAGCGTGAGCGTTCCCGCTCGGCCAGTCGCTCGCGATCGCCACGCCGTCGTGGACGTGGCTCGGGGGAGCGAACGCCGCCGCCGAAGCGAAGGGAGCGCTCCCGGTCGCGCACCCGCACCCGTTCGCCCACGCCCAAGCCTGTGCGCATCCATGTCGGCCGGCTCACCCGCAACGTGACCAAGGACCATGTGTTCGAGATCTTCAGCAGCTTCGGGGACGTGAAGAACGTCGAGTTTCCCGTAGATCGTTACCATCCGAATTTCGGACGCGGCGTGGCCTTTGTGGAATACGCCACCGCCGAGGACTGCGAGTCGGCCATGAAGCACATGGATGGCGGGCAGATCGATGGCCAGGAGATCACAGTGTCGCCCGTTGTTATACCCAAGCAGCGGCCGCCCATGCGTCGTCCATCGCCTCCCATGCGCCGTCCGCAGAACAACCGCTGGCGATCCCCGCCCAATTTCAATCGGTTTAACAACCGCGGAGGTGGTGGAGGTGGCGGCGGCGGCGGCGGTCGTCGTCAGTCGCCCATGAGGAACAGGCGTTCGCCGCGTCGCCGCTCCCGCTCGCCCATCCGCCGCCGGCGTCGCAGCAACAGCAGCGACAGCTCTCGCTAGAGGACACCACTCGACTCCTAGTTTCTACAATTTGACACACGATTTATGCACTTTTCTTTATATTATAATCCAAACAATAAACATGAGCAAGGGCTACACATAATAAGTTAGTGTATAAAGGAGCACTCGGCGTCTGCGAGAGGACATCCCAGTGGATGATAGAGCTTGAAGAAGCAGCTACGCTTTTTGGTGGTCAGTCTGGATTGGAGGAGAGGAGCCTTTGCTTTGGGTGTTCTTATCCCTATAAGATCGCCACCGCAAAACTCGAATACCTCGTGCTTATTTCTCAGCAAGGTTTTAATCCCACCGCACTCGGATTTAATGCCACTCAGCTCTTCCTTGGTGAGGCTCTGGGCGATCTCTCGCATGGGCAGACGACCAGACCATTTATCTGCATTGGAAGCCAGCAGTTGTGTAAAGATCTTCAGCACCAGACCATCGATAATGGATTTTTCCACCTGCGTGCAGTTGCGAACGCTTTCCTCCTTTTCCCTCAACTTTATTTCAGACTCTCCTGTTTTGTACTTTCTTAACTCCTCTTGGACAAAGTACTCCAAGTCCTTTGTGGGGTTTCTTTTGATTCCTATCAGAGCCAAGCGCTTGGTACTCGGAATTTTTAGTCTGTCTTGAAGAACCTCAAAGCCGCATTCCCGTGAGACCTGAGTTACGTATTGAAAAAAGTCCTGGTACGCACTTATCTTCGTGTTGCGCCTTCGGAATTTGGCTCCCGAAAGTTCGTAGGGACAGCAGGGTAGCAGAAAGTAGTTGATGTTCAAGCGACCAGCCAAAACCGGAAGCCAGGGAGACAGTTCATCCGAATGGTTGCCAATTAACCAATCTACCTCCGGAAAATCCAAGCGGAAGCTGTTGGGCTCCACTGCCTTTTCGAGGAGGCTCTGTTGAGTGTCCGCCGGATAGAGAGACCACAGCTTTCGCTTCCTTATATCGTAGCCGTAGCCCTTGAAGCCCTCGGCATTGAGGACGTGCACCAGGAGACCGTTCCCGCAACCCAAATCGGCAAATGCCTTGGGCTCCGTTTGGGTCTGATTCCAGAGAACAATGAGATAGGCGGCGATGGCCAGGTCTTCGTAGATGAACTTCAACGGATCCGTGGACTCTTGGGCGGTCTTCCAGTAGTCTAGGAGACGCTGGGAGTGCTTCTGTTTCAACTGCTTGTACAGATCATTGTACTTTTCCACGTCTACCAGGCCCAATGATTTGACTTTTGATTCCTCCTGCTTGGACTGGGACCAGCTGAGGAGCTTTGGCTTAAGAACAAACTCCAGCCAGTTGGGGTTCTGCTTGGACTCCAGTAAAAGCTGTCCTCCAAGAAGCCGCACTGAGAAATCCTCGATTTCGTCGCTGGCAAACTGGCACTCGTAAAGGCATTTTTCAAAGTCTGTAAAAGGCGGTTTATAGTTTCGTAATAGATTAATTATTAGAGGTTTATCTCACCTACGGTTCCGGTGGCCAAGATGTTCTCCGGCAGTTTCTTGGGCAGCAGTTTGAATCCAATCTTAAAGCCACTGCACGTGCGCTGGTTTGGGTTTTCTTTCAGGGATTTCCACAGTTCCTCTTCGCTGGAGTCACACAGTCGTCCATCCTGCTGCTTTTCCACTTGGGTTAGGACCACCTCGAATATCTTTTTGTTCAATGCATGATAGTTTTTGATCAGTATTCCAATCGCCTGCCAGAACTGCGCTTCTTCTACTGTAGTCATGGTGTCGAAAAATAAAGGTGACCCATGAAGTCACGAATATTAAGTATACGTAGGGGGTTTTCTTTCCTATCGATATTTGACTAGCGCATATTTCAAAATAATTTAAGCTAACGGTTTGTATATTGTTTATCTTCGTAATAAATTTAATAAATAAAAGATTATTTGACACTTTTGAAATAGGAATATCCAAATCAATTAGGTTTTAAATATAAAATTTTGACAAAAAATTAAGATTAACTGATTTCTCATACATTAAAAATCGTATTTCTTGCATATGTTAATAAATAAATAAAAATAAATTTTAAAAAACGATCTCGATGACTAAACCCGAGAACATCGATTGTTAAATGTGTATCGATATGGTATCCCATACTATCTATTGCGTAATCAGCTGGGAAACACGCAGCTGAATCTGAATCTTCGGAATTACCTGTTGCATTTAATAGTTTAGATACAAATAATATACCATGTCATTCCTGCGAAAGTCGGTGCATATCTTGGGTGCTGTGGCGAGGCGGCAACAACACCTGAATGCGGTTAGTACTTTGAGTTATCCCATGGGTTTGTTGTTATTTGTTTGAATCTACAGATTGGAGGTGCGATCTCCACAGCTGCGCGGGATTTCAGCTCGGCGCCCCCAAGTGATTACGCCAATTTCCCAGGTGCCAAGGCTCCGTTCGTCAGCGATTTGAAGTTGATTCACCCAGAGGATTATGCGCCAATTCCCATTTACCGAGTGATGGATCAGGATGGCTATATAGCGGACGAGTCGCAGGATCCCCAGCTGGGTCGTGAGGTGGTGGAGAAGATGTTCCGCGACATGCTGCTGCTCAACACCATGGACAAGATCCTGTACGAGTCCCAGCGACAGGGCAGGATCTCCTTCTACATGACCAACTTTGGCGAGGAGGCGTCCCACATTGGCAGCGCTGCCGCCCTGGAGATGCGGGATCTCATATACGGGCAGTACCGCGAGGCCGGTGTCCTGGTGTGGCGTGGCTTCCGCATCGACCAGTTCATCGATCAGTGCTACGGCAATACGGACGACTTGGGTCGAGGCAAGCAGATGCCCGTGCACTACGGTTCCAGGGAGCTGAACTTTGTCACCATCTCTAGTCCTTTGTGTAAGTATCTGTACTCCTATATAGACTGGAAAATTCTAAAGCTAATCTTGCTTCTCCCTTGGACTCGTAGCTACCCAAATGCCTCAGGCCGTGGGTGCAGCCTATGCCATGAAAATGAAGCCGGATAACGATGCCTGTGTGGTTTGTTATTTCGGTGAGGGAGCTGCTTCCGAGGGAGATGCCCATGCCGCCTTCAACTTTGCAGCCACGCTGGGTTGTCCAGTCATCCTCTTCTGGTGAGTAGCGATCTTAAAATATATGTAGTTTAAATATAACGAGAAACAATTGTCTATAGTAACTCTGAGATACCCAAGACACTACTTTGATAAGATAAAATATTTTACAGTTTTCTTTATCTTATCATACTCTTCGTCATCAAAACTTTAAAGAAATTTAATACATATTTTATAATATATTTATTGAATATTTTTGTAATTAAATATCAAATTTTCTCCTTAGTCGCAACAATGGATTTGCCATATCCACCCCATCCCACGAACAGTACAAGGGCGATGGCATCGCAGGACGTGGTCCGATGGGCTATGGAATTGCCACGATTCGCGTGGATGGCACCGATGTTTTCGCCGTCTACAATGCCATGAAAAAAGCCAGGGAATATGTGCTCAAGGAGAACAAGCCGGTGGTGTTCGAGGCCCTGGCCTATCGCGTGGGCCACCACTCCACCTCGGATGACAGCACCGCCTACAGACCGGCCGAGGAGATCGAGGTGTGGAACTCGGTGGAGCATCCAATCTCCAAGTTGAAGCGCTACATGGTGCACAAGGGCTGGTTCGACGAGACCGAGGAAACCGAATTCATCAAGGATGTTAGGAAAAAGGTCCTCAAGCAGATAGCCGTTTCCGAGAAGAAACTGAAGCCCAACTGGCGCGAGATGTTCGAGGGCGTGTACGCAGAGATGCCGGAGCATCTGGTGGCGCAGCAGAAGGAGCTGGAGCAGCACATCGAGGGACACAAGGAGCACTATCCACTGAAGAACTTCGAGAAGTAGATTGCCTCGAGCCAGAAAGAAGCTAACAACTCAGAAATGAAAGCGAACCGAGAGACTCGATCGAAAGTGCATTTATTATGATTAAGCAATAGGCAAACAGTTTTTTGTGTGGGTCCAACCCGTTTGTTATGACTCATCTGCCCAGGCTGGGTGGGTCGATTGTGTGGAGCCAGACTAGATTAACTTACATACCTCGCTTCCACATTCAAGCTGACCCACTTCGGTGCAGGTGTTATGAAAAGGTGTTAAAATTTATTAGATTTGATTTACATACAATATACATATACTGAAACAATACGAATACAAAGATATACTTTTGACTTAACGCAACGCATCGCAGACAAAAAAACGCTGGTGGAGATGAAGCTCCCTGTTGCAGGGCTGACTCGCTGAAGCTTGGCTGGAATGATGCAGGGGTGCGGGTGCGGGAGTGGCTCCTCTCAATTGGTGCGCAGCTGGTAGTCGCCGTTCTGCGTGATGTACCGCACCCACGGCAGCGCCTGGTAGCCGCTCTTCTCGATGATCTTCAGGTAGCGCACCTGGATGCCCGACGTGGTGAAGTAGGGAATCTCGAAGCGCACCTGAATGGGTGGCTTGCCCTCCGTATTGTCCTCGCTCTCCACACTCGGCAGACCGAAGTGGGCCCGCATTAGGTACTCCTTGCCGCCCGGGAACGACTTGATCGTCCAGATAATGGCGTTCTGCTCCGGGGCGTACTTGCAGCTGCCAATGGTGGTCTTGAACTTGGGCGAGTCCGCGTCGGCGGGCACCGGTATGACGATCTCCACATTGTTGGCCGTGGATCTTCGCTTGAACTGCGACTTTGCCTTGATCATGTACTCCACGCGGGAGTGGGCGTGCCGCTCGATCACCGACTCTATCCAAATCAAGGGTTTGACCTGGGAAAAAGGGTTATATTTGTGTTACATTTTATGGGAAAAAGTAAAAGAAATACTCACATGAGTGTTCAGACGATAGGACATCAGTTCGAACTCGCCGTCCGGCGGAATAAACGAGATTGTACGATCGTTTTCGAACCGCGACAGCCGCACGCACTGGTGGAACTTGACGTCCTCGAGCTCCACCGACTTGGACTTGCCGCGACCGGTGCTCTCGAACAGAACCTTGTCATTGAGGCCCAGCCGGAGTTCGGGCATTCCGGACAGGTAGACCCGCATCTTGATGGCGCCCACAATCTCGCTGCGCAGCACATTGCCATTGGCATTGGCCAGCAGGTTCACCGACTCGATGACGTCGAGGAAGACCTCGTTCTTGCGGTACTTGATGCCCTCGGAGCGCCAGGAAACGGCATTGGTCACCGCCACCGGGATGCGGGGCTGCAGCTCCAGCTTGTGGCCCTCCTGCGTGATGTACTCCTGCAGGATCTTCGAGTCGGTGGTCTGCGGGTAGCCAAAGTCGAGCAGCTCGTCCAGCAGCTCGTAGATGATCACGAAGTTGTCCCGGATGGACTCCTCCTCCAGCTCCTTGAAGTACTCCACAAAGACCTGGGCGATCTTGTGCAGAAAGACAAAGACCAGGGCGATATTCACGTTCTTGTTGCGCGGCGTCGTGGACACGATATACAGGTTGTTGGTCTTGATGTAGGCGAACGTGGTCTCCGCCGTCTGGAGGATCGGGGTGATCAGACCCTCCTCCTCGCGCTCCATCAGCAGCGGCATGAATTTGTCGATCACGGCCATGTCGATGTTGTCACCGCGGTAGTTGCGCGATATCAGCACCTTGCCCTTCACGTCCAGCACGAAAATGGCCGACGAAGACATGACTCTCGGTTCCCAGCAGCTGCCACTTGTCCCAGGTGTTAAAAAACCCAATTGGATCGAGTGGGAGGAGGTCCCTTGACTGGTTGTACTGCTCGCGGCAGGCGTTGCTCGTAGCGGGTGGCGACTGTGGTGCGGCGTCGGTGAGTGGGTCGGTGTGTCGTTGGGCTGGCTTTACATATTCAGTTTCGTGGCCTGGAAAATGCGAATGAAAACTCTGAAATTTCTTACGTCGCCCTTTCTGCTGCTTCTTCTTTGCGTTGCAGAGTGACCAGCTGGGAATTTCTTAGTGCTGCTCATCTATCCATTTCTAGCTATGATACTTTGTGTAATACTTTTGTTAAAACTTCTGCTTAGTTTTTTTAATTACTACTATTAAAATTGTTTAATTCAAGTTTTCTAAACTTAAAAAAAGATATATTTTTCTCTGATAACGTGGTGTGAGCAGAGGGAGGGACATTTAACCTGCCATCACTGTTGCCCTTTGGTATTTCCCGCATTCCGCAGTACGGTCACATTGCTCTAGCCAGACGCTGCTTTTTTTGGAATTCTTAATTTATTTACTTCGGCGAGCATGCAAATGAACCCGAGCGTCACAATCGAGCGCAAACGCGTCGACTGCAGTGTCCTGCCCAAAGGATGGCAGCGCGACGAGGTCCGCAAGTCCGGCAGCAGCTCCAATAGCAACGCCAGCAGCAACAACAACAACAGCAGCAGCAGCGCCACAGCCAGCAGCAACAACAACAATAACAAGGTGGATGTTTTCTACTACAGGTAAAGAAGAAGAGGAGCGCACTCTATATAGACTAAGGGGAGATATATCTAAAATCGGAACACTGCACGCTGTTGCATAGGATAAACTTTTAATCACTTTCACTACCTTTCTGTTATTACATCCACATCAACCACAACACACACACACACCACTCACAAACACACACGCACACGCCTATGTATACACACACACGATCCACCTAACCCACCAAAAAAAAAAAAAAAATCTCCACCCACCGCCGAGTGCGTTCAGCAGTCCCACAGGAAAAAGGGCGGAGGGAAGGCCGCAGGACATCGCAGTCCCCGATTACCAAGCCGGCAAGATGCAACAAAGGGCGCTGCCCTCGCCATCCATTTCGCTGTACCGCTGCAGCGCCATGCCGCTGCCCCTGACGAGTGGCGGTGGAAATGGGGCCACCTCGGGATCGGCGGCCAATGCCCTCAAGCGCAAGTTCGCCCGGAGTCAAGGAGCAGCAGCAGCAGCAGCTCCTCCGGCAGCAACCGCCGCCTCATCAGCAGCAGCAGCATCATCACCATCTTCGGCCAATCGGCAGCAGCAACAGATTGAACTCAGGTAGAGCCAAGTGGAGGAGCACTTGACTCTTGCATGCCAGCGTGTCCCGTCTTGTTTGCCTGTAGCCTTCAGCCAGGACGCAAGGTCTACAGCCGGCGGAAATCGAAATCTAGAAACCCAAAAAAAGCTAAAGCAACACAATTGGCCATCAAAAACGCTGTAGCTCTGTGCCACCTGAGACTTTGTTCACCATCTCTGCATGTTTAAGCTCCACTTTACGTTTTGTCTTGTGTGCTGTTCGGTGTATTAGCTGCTAAAAAACATCCGATTAATGAATTCCCATCTTTAATCCCTTACAGCCGAGCCCTGCGCACAGATGTCTCCCTGGTGCCGCCCATCCGACAGACTGCCTCGATCTTCAAGCAACCGGTGACGGCGATCCGCAACCACAGCCAGGATCCCGCAAAGGTGAAGCCAGATGCCAAGGCACATGGCACTCGGGAGAAGCCCAAACAGCTGTTCTGGGAGAAGCGGCTGGAGCGGCTACGCGCCTGCCACGACAGCGGCGAGGAGCTGGACGACATCTCACTGCCCAAGACCATACGCACCGTTGGCCCCAATGTCAACGAACAGACCGTCCTCCAGTCGGTGGCCACGGCGCTGCACATGCTCAACGCCGGCGTCCACGGCCAGAGCTCCACGAAGGCTGACTTGACCAAGAATGCGATGGCGTTCATGAATCCCGAACAGCCGCTCATGCACGCGGTTATCATCTCCGAGGACGACATTCGCAAGCAGGAGGACCGCGTGGGTGTGGCGCGGCGAAAGCTGCAGGATGCGCTCAAGACATAAGTGCTATGGTCACCCTCACGCATCTACCAATTCCATTGTAGACTATAACATCGCTATCGTATTGAGCCCTATTCGAAATCTACGTTTAAGACTAGTGTGTAATAAACCAAAACCAACTCCAATCGAGGGATACTGGTTTTTATTGGAGGTCGGTACTCCTTTTCCATAACAAAAGCACCTCAATAGTCGTTTTTATTACGCTCTGTTGACTTTAAAATGCTATTTTATACAAGACAGTTTAAAAACGAATTCGAACTATATTACACATATTAAATATGCAAGTAAGAGCAGGTCGATTAGTAAGAAAATCTTTGGAACGGAAAGTTATCTTAGGATTATTCTATTAGTTGACAAGTTCCTCATTTACACCGCGTACTTTCCCTGCCGAATAAGAAAACGTTGCGATTCCTTTTTGGTCCAAAGATTCTTGGCCCAACAAATCCCCTCTAATGTTCACGCAAACTTTTTAAGCTGGACAGTTTTTGTGCTTCATCCCCTCATTGTATTTTAAAATATATACTATACATAGACATCTTTTCGGAGGCGCGATTACTCCAAGACCTCCTCCAGCTCGTCGTCCTCGTAATCTATGCCATCGTAGTCCGTCGAAGAGCGCGTTGTTAGCTGCAAGGGATGAAGCAATCGGAATTTGCGATTAACTGAGAATTTGGCACCTGCACTGGTCTCGTGCCTACAAGAGTGTCTGGAGCCAAACAAAGACATTGACCCAAAACTATCAAATAAGCTCCAGGCAGTTAGGGATTGAGAACATCTAAATTCAGAGAGCGGTGCCCACCTGGTTGTAAATGCCGCGCCATGCCGCAAAGGCTCCCATGGCCAGCACTGCTCCCACGCCCGCCACGATCTTGGTGTTCAGCTCGGAATCCATGAATTTGCGCTCCGAGGCCGTCAGACTCGCCTCCGTGCCGCTGGGAGTCTTTGTGAGCTTGACGGAACTGTAGCCCTCGTTGCGGAATATGTCCTTGGTGATGCGATTGATGAAGTTCACCAGGTTCTGGCAGCCTTTAATGTGATTCTGCAGTGGATTGTTGGGCAGTGCGATTTTGAAGATGATGGCCAGGTAGCTGTAAACAATGGCATCGAACTCGCTGTAAGTGTCGCCAAAGAACCAGACCTTGCGACCCAACTTCCGGGATAGCAGATTCACCACCTTTTTGGCATTGACAACGAGCTGGGGGAGAAAATGGGAATCATTAGTGGTTGTAGATATGTAATGTCCCTTGTAAGATGCAAGGACTAGGACTTTAAATCTAATTGATTAGTCATACTAATATTATTAGTTAATCGGTAAAGATTAGACATCGGATTTTAGGTTTTAAATATGATTTAAAGCTACATTTAAGTGGTGAAACTTTTTACAAAAACCTCAATTAAGTTTGGCCTAAATCTAATTATAACTTAATAAATAAAATTTGTAACTAATCAAATGTGGCTTTTAATCGTATTTAAAAAATCCGTTGTCTATTAATGATGAAATGTTAAGAAATGTTTGGAAACAAGATTGGTATCAAGTTTCCTACAATGTATCAATAATTTGGTTAGTCATTAATTCTTGCATCAGCTTTTAGGTTCAAAAAAATGCAAGAATAGGAATCCCTCCGCTGAACAGTCTTCATCCCAACCACTCACGTAGTCGCCCTCGTGCTTGTCCATCTTGTCGTTCACATCGAAGCCGGCCATCACCTGGACGACGTCGCAGGCTTCCCGCTGGTAGGACGACGGGTAGTAGAAGTTGAAGGGGAATGGCGTGCGCTTGGCGTAGAGACCCCGCGTGGTCGTGTCGAAGTTGTGGGGCTCTCCGTAGAGGAAGTAGTGGTAGTAGGCGTGCAGATTGGTGAACACCCAGTTGGCGTAGGCGCTGGACAAATGCTTTTGTTTGGTGCTTAAATGCGCATCAATCGGGTAACCCTGGAAGAGTGATACGACGAATTAATGCCATACAAAACAACGCCTATAAATAGACCGTGCAGTTTGTTCACCCGGCGCTTATTTGCGCACTCACCTCGAGATCCAGCACGCGCTTGATTTGCCTGTAGCCCGCGAACTTCTCGTTGCCGATCTGCAGATAGGGCAGCTTCCCGGCTCCCGAGCGCAGCGGATTGGAGCTGGTCTGCACGTCCATCGGGCAGCGGGTGAATCGCAGGAGGCACTGTCACCAGGGAGAGAGGAGAGGCGGTTTCTTCAGTCATTGCGAGATAGATAATGGGCCACAGCCAAACAGGCGTGCTGGCCGCCGCCGTGTGATGCAACTGAACTTACCAGCGCACGTAAACATTCAAAATCAATGGACGGCAGGCCGTACTCCCCCTTGTAGACATGCAGCATCGCTCCCAGTTGCATCTCCATTGCGTCCCAGTCCTTGCTCACTCGTTCTCTTGTATTGGGCCGGTTTTCAACAGTGCACCTGCATGGTAGACATCAAAATTTTAAAAATATATCCCAGAATTTCTGGTCTGAGGGTGCTTTGATAACTGCTACTCGATCTATCGCTTGAATCTATCGGCGCCTTATCGATAGGTGGCCAGTGATGAGCGGCTGAATATAGCTAGATAAGAGCAGCAGATTAATAGCTAGACGGCGATAAATAAGCCAAATTGTTATCGCTCGACAATCGGTTTTTTATTCGCCAGCCCTGTAAATTGTATTGTTATCGAAAAGATGTACCGCGTAATTTGAATCAAAATGTATCAAAGAATTTGGTAAAAAATATATTTTTTAAAATTTCTCCCAATTTTTTAAATTAATAAGTAGGTAATGAAAAAAGGGATATATAGTTTTTTATATAAATATATATATAACAATTTTTTATACCCTTGTTTTACATTATTTTTTGTTTTTTTTTAAACTTAGCATTTTGCCGATATTGTATATTTTTAATGGCCGAAATTATAAATTGGTATTTTGGAATCCAATTCCCATTTCTTGCGGTTTGTTAATAGTAATTTTTACAACTCAAGGCCCACACCTAAAAAATTGATCTTCATCACTTTCGGAAAATGTAGTTTTTTAACCATTTTTTTGCATCACGATTTTATAAAGAAAACTACACTTTATTTCCCTTTCATCCACCAATTTTACCCACTTCACAGCAGTATAAACACACAATCAATTCAGTTATGTCAGTATTTTTTTGTTTGTTTATTGCACAATTACAATATACAGGTTCACTTTCATATAATTTATTACAACTAAAATTACTATGGTATAGAAAAAATATGTATGGGGACTCTCATTCAGTTTATTCGCACTACTTGCTAGGTTTTGGGGTGGGGAGGGGCTGGGTTCGAGTGGGTCTGGTTAGTGAAAACATAAACAACAGCAACGCTTGCACGGAGCCTGGAAACTGCACGTGCCAAACCTAAACTAAACTAGAGCTGTGGGTAATTTCATTTCATTTCAGACGAACTCAGTGCGCCACGGCAAAGTTTCAAAGTCAACAGTTTTAACAGGTTCGCTTGGGAAAGCATAACAAGGTTTCATTTCATATTTTTCTCTTTTTTTTGCGCTTTTCAATAGTGGCATTGTCGGGGGGTTAGGGGCGCTCTTACAGTTAACATAGTGACGATTATCTAATATGGTACATTCACTTTTTTTTGTGTGGTTTGTTTTTTTTTGCATAGGATTTTTTTATAAAAAAAATTACAGTATAAGAATTCGTTTTGAGCTTAACAAAAACGCAAGCTAACTAACCTAACCGATTGGATTCGAGCGCTACATCGATCGATCCATCAATATAATAAATATTTCACGTTCTTCTCACGTTTTGTGTAAATGTGGCTTGGGGTAATCAAAGCGGTATAACTATTCCTAGATGCGTATAAAAATATTCATAAACATTCGTATAATTTTGCTCAAGTCTTAGGAATACAGTTGGTTTCAATATGAATTTGAAGGCATTGAACGCACAATGTGCGCGTTATGGTTTGATTTTCCATGTTTCTGGTTGGTCGGGGCAAATTGTTTGGGGGCGGGTTGGTGGTTTGTATCTCTTAGTTGCTCTTATATGGTCATCAGTGGGGGTCAATTTGTACAACTGACTATGGGTTTATTTTAGTTTAGGGCTAGGCTGCTTGGCTAATCTAATTACAATATAGGGCTTACATCTAATGCATAGCTATGCGTAGATATATCATTTCTAGCATGGTTCTTCTCCTTCTCTCACGTTCTCTATAAGGCACAGATATTTGTTACATCAGTTGTTTATACACATAAATACTTGTTGCTTAGTGAAAATAAATACTACATTAATTACAAAAATGTACAGCGAAGATGGGGAGTTTTGGAAGGGGCTACACCTCCACGCCGTAGTTGCGATCCACCACGTAGTCGAAGCGCTGTTGCTCGGCATCGTTAGGAGCAACTGGAACTGGAACGGCCGCTGGCTTGGCCTCAGGATTGGCAGCTGGAGTGGCTACAGGAGTGGCAGCAGGAGAGGCAGCAGGAGAGACAGCAGGAGTAGTAACTGCTGGTATCTTGGGCACTGCCCCACTGGCGGCTCTATGGTGGTTCTCACTGAGATTCTTATTTCTGTTGCTGCTGGCCACCAGCGCCGTGTTGATGGCTATTGCCGTCTCAGCTGAATTGTAGAACTCATCCTCGTCCTCTTCCTCCTCCTCCTCTTCCTCTTCGATGGGATTGGCTTCCGGCAAGGTAAATTCACTGGGCAACTCGGGCACCGACAGTCCCTTGCGTGTGAAGAAGGTGATCTTCTCCCTGTAAGCATCAACAATTTAATATCGCTCTTTAGTGAGTTATGTCCAATATGACTTACTTGAACGACACCAGATCGGGACAGCCCTTGGGCACTTTTGTCTTGCGCAGCTTGTGGATCTCCTTGGCGGTCTTCATCAGCAGCTTCTGCAGTTGGCGCTCCTCTGGGCATTTGGCGGGATCGGCACGAGCCACCAGGCGCTGGAACTCCTCGTTCTCGATGGCCCAGGCGGCCACCAAAGGATCCTTGTTCTCGCAGGCCTTCTGCAAACTGTTGGAAAAATAATTAATTAAAAAAGTGTACTTGTTGGTAAGATTTAAATTGATAAACTTACACTTCCTTGAGGTTCTGCAGCTTGGCGATTTGATCGTTGAGGAAATAGAGCTTGCTGTGCTGGGCCTGCAGATCCAGCTCCAAGTCCAAACTGGTGCGGGGTATGTGAGTATGATGCAGTTCTAAAAATATGAATAAAAATCAGTTAGGAAACTATTACAAAATCTCATATTTAAAATGAGAATTCCCAAAGATTGGTAACATCTGTACTTACTTGTGACTGACTTGGGCGCCTTCGTGTGGAAGCGCAGGGATCGTCGCTCGGCGGCACCGCGTTGGAAAGTGTGAGGCGCCACGCCGCAGTGCATCGCGGAGTCGGAGTCACTGCGATTGAGCCGGCAGTTGTAGCGATTCTTGCTGACCGCCGCTGAAGGCGTGAAGGTCTGTGACCGCTTCACCGGCCTGTCGTCCATCAGCTGCGATTGGCCGCGAGATTTCTCCGGCAGAAAGGCGCGATCAGTGTTGGTCTCCTTGTCGGCGAACTCCTGCTTCATGTTTTGCAGGTAGGCATCCAGCATGCCGCTTGCTGTTGGTTAAAAACAAGTAAGTATTTTAGGAAATATTTTAAAATTATAATTATTTTAAAACTTACAGTTCATTAGACCAACGTCGCTGACGAGCTGCTTGTCATCCAACTCCTCCTCTTCATCATCATCGTCGTCGTCGCTGCACTCGGGCTCATTGAGCGGTCCCAGCTCCAGCAATTCGGCGGCAATTTGCTCCTGAAGCTCCATGCAAGGTGCCTGGTTTCTGGTCAGCGTCGATGTCTGGGAGGAGGTAATGGTGGACTCGTCCGAAGACTCCTCCCGGTTGTTGCCACTGGCTGCTGGTGCATTGCTGGCGGCAACGGCGGCTGCTGCTGCTGCGGCACTGGTGGAGGGAATGTCCAGGGACTCGAAGCTGGGAATAAACTTGGAGCTCAGCACGTTGTACCACTTCAGGGTGGAATCCTCTGGGTTAAACTCGGCCATGCTGATCTGCACAGTGCCCTGGAATGTAGAGAATCTACGTTATTTACATCCAAAGAGAAGTGGGTTAAGAATACTCACAATAATCTCCTCCTTTTGGCCAGTCATGGTCACCACGGTCACCTGCAGGCTCTTGCTGAGCAGCTTGTCCAGTGAAATCGGCACGGCAAAGGTATCATTGAAGACAGGCTTCTGGAAGTCGCCCAGTGCCTTGGTCCGAATGGAGGTCAGCGAATTCGGCAGCAACGCAGCACGGAGATAACTGAAAGGGGAGTATAAATATAAAAATCTGCCATCATATTCATATAAATAATATACTTACACCTGCGAGTTGTCCGCCGAGGCAGTCCAAAGGGCCAGCAGATTGTTGGCCCGCTCCAGGGACACCACGAGTACGCCTTCCTGCTTCAGATACTTCAGTCCAATCTGGACCTGGGCCAGTTCCTTTCGCGGCAGATGAGCACGCGATGCCTCAAAGACGCCGGAATCGCCGGCCACGGACTCATTGCTAACCGCCGCCGACACGGATCGCGTATTGGAGGTGGAGGAGGATCGGCTGAGCATCTCCTGCGGCAGATCCAGCAGCGAGGGCTTCTCCGAAATGGGAGAGAGCGGGGCAGCGGCCAGATTGAGCGGCGTGCCCATGTTCAGCTTCTGCAGCTTGGCCTCCAGCATCATGCAGTCGAGCACCGTGGAGTCGAGGTCGTAGGGACGAGCTCTGACCCCGGAAATCGGAACTGGCGGCGGAGCTGTGTAGGCGGGAGGGGCGGGCAGAGCATTGGCATAGGTGGGCTCCTCCTTGAGCACCTGTGGCTGCGTCTGGTCCGCTCCCGGATTATACTTCATCGGTGAGGCGGGCGGCGTTTCCATGGACAGGCTGCTTCTAGGCGAGAGCGTTACCTCCGAGGATTGCTGCTGCTGCAGGACAGGATGGACGGGATGCAGGATGCGCTGCTGCTGATGATGCTGCTGCTGGAACAATCTCTGCGATCGGCGCCTCAGATCCACCACATCAATGGGCGAGTCCACGGCAAAGGGATCGATATAGATGTCGGTGAAGCTCAAAGCACTCTTGCTGCTCGCCGTGGACAGGGAGCCCAGACTGCTGCCGCTGCTGATGGAGAAGGTGCTCTCCGAGGAGAAGGACTTGAGTCGCTCCTCCAGCAGCTTGGTGGACTTGAGAGCCTCCTGCAGCTTGTCCAGCAGCAGCTGCTTCTCCTCGTGGAAGCGCAGACGATTGGCCACGCACGTGTTGTTCGCTTCGTAGGCCTCCTTTAAGTCCTCCTCCAGTTTGTGGCGCGTCTGCTGGATGACCCGCTTCTCCTCCTCGCTGCGCGACTTGATCGAAATGCTGTTCAGATCGTTCAGCAGCTTCTCCTTCTCCTGGATGAGCAGAATGCGATCCTTGTCCGACTCCAGTTGGCCGGGCTCAATGCGCTCCACATGATCGGCCAGCTGTTGCTGCAGATTCTTGATATGCTT